TGACGTCAACGCTGGTCTGAAATGTGGCTATTAGGCACGAGACAGATGAAGGGCTGGAAGGCAAAGTGGGCATCTGGAGGAGGGTCACAGGGAGGGGCAAGACTTTGAAAGAGTCTGTAGCAAGAGAGAACTCCAGCACATCTGAGGCATCAGAGAAGTTGAGGATGGGTGGAAAGTGGGCTCAAGGCCAGGGCAGGGGACGGTGTGACTGGAAAGGTGGCAACTACTTGTGGCCTGAGGACCCTGCTAAGAGAAACCCAGAGACCAGTATGCAGACTGGGGCTGTCACTTTCGGGCAGTGGTGGCATCTGTAGGTAATACTTTAGTTGCTATCAAGACTTTTTTTTTAAGTCATGGCTGAGCATGGTGGTGTCCCCTTCAATCCCAGCCCTGAGTTGCTCAGGCAGGAGGTTCACCAGTCCAAGGCCAGTCTAGGCCACATAGCGGCTTTAAAGGCAGCCAGCGTTGTCTAGCGAAACCCTATTTCAAAAAAAGACAACCAAAAAACAAACCAACAAAAAAAACAAGCAAACAAAAAGCAAAAAACAACCAATCCAACCATCCAAACATAAAAAAAACAACAACGAAACAATCCTCTTATGGTTGTTTTTAGTGTTTTGGCATGGACTTTTTTAGGCTTACCCCCAGGTTTGCTCACTTTTTCTGAATCTATAGGCTTGTATCTTTTATTAATTTGGGATGTTTTCAGCCATTATTACTTTAAATGTTTTTCAGCACCCTTTCTACTTCTGAGGCTGTGAGTGTAGAAAGCTAGATACTTTGTTACAGTTCCCAAGAGTCTGCTGTTTTCCCCTGTTGCTCACACTAAGTGTATTTTTGTCTTTTTATAGATCTATTTATTTATTGTTTATTGAGACAATGTCTCACTATGTAGTCCTAGCTGTTCTGGAACTCGCCTTGTAGCCCAGGCTGGCCCCAAAATCACAAAATCCGGATGCTGGGATTAAAGGTGTGCGCCACCACAGCGGCTCTTTATTTTATTTCATTTTTTCTTCTTGAGGCCTGCAACCCAGTCAGCACTGGAACTTGTTATGTTTCAGAGGAAGACATCTGGCCCCTTTGTTTTCCAGTTTCCTAGGGTTGGAATACAGGCCTGGGTGACCACGCCTAGACAGATTAAGCAGATTTTAGTAATTTGCCCCTGAGTTCAGGCCTCTGCCTTCTGTCTCTACTACTGAGTCCATCAGGCAAACTTTTCAAGATTCAGTTATAGGGGAGAAGAGGAAAAGGGAGTCATTGCTTAGAGAATGTGTTTCGGTGACATTGGAAGAACACATAGGAGATGCATAATGTATTTTATTTATTTATTTTTGTTTGAGATAGGGTCAAACTCTCTATCATAGGCTAGCCTGGAACTCATTACGTAGCCCAGGCTGGACTCAAACTCCCAGTACTTCTCCAACCTCAACCTGGGAAGTATAGGTATGAGTCCCCATGCCTGACTTTGTTGATGTTTACAAGAAGATCTTACTTTAGTAGCCCAGGATAGCCTCAGACTTGTGATCCGTTCTCAGCCTCCTGAGCGCTGGAACCTCAGTGCTTTTCCACCACTACACCTAGAGCTAAGAGATCAGATCTTATATTAAGTTTTGTTGTTTGTTTTTCAGACAAGGTCTCCCTATATAGCCTAGCCAATCTTGGGGCTCACTGGGTATTCCAGGCTGGCTTTGAACTCCTGGAGGTGATCATCCTGCCTGAGTTCTGGGGTTACAGGTGTGCCTTAACATAACTGAGCTATTTGTTAAATGTTCTTACACACACAGTAGCACACTCATGTCGAGATCACAGAAACAGGGACTTTCCAGAGGGGATATGTTTAATACTCTGACTGTGATGATGATAGCCTATAGATATACATTTGTCCAAACTCATCAAAACATGTACATTAAACACGGACTCTGTAATTGTTTTTGTAAAGCAAGCTTTTGTGTAACCCAGGCTGGCTTTGAAGTCTGATCTTCCCGCCTCTCCACCCAAGTGCTGGGATTACAGAGGTGGGACAGTCCCCGCTCCTCTTTTTGTTAAAAATCAATTTAAAAGATATTGTATGCAAATGAGTGTTTTGCCCGAATTATGTTTGCACAATGTGTGCATGCAGTGTCTTCAGAGACCAGAAGAGGGCATCAGGTTTTAACTGGAGTTACAGATGACTGTGAGCCACCATGTGGGCACTGAGAATCAATCCTGGGTTCTTTGCAAGAGCAGCCCCTTAGTCTCTTAACTGCTGAGTTGTCTCCAGCCCCCGCCTCCTCTTTTTTTTTTTTTTTTTTTTTTGAGACAAAGTCTTTCTATGTAGCCCATGGCTAGCCTGGAACTTGTGTAGATTTGGCTGGCCTGAAACTCACCAGGGTCTCCAGGCTCTGTGTCCCGAATGCCAGGATTAAAGCCATGTGCCATCACTCCCTGCTCCCTCCTTTCCCCTTCATGAGCAATGTCCACATGGCATAGGGCAAGTTGTTTCACACTTTTAGGACCCTCTGGAGACTTGACCACCTGCAGCAGGATGGAGGAGGAGGGCAGGGAGCAGAATGCATCAGGGAGAGTCTTGTCTGTCCTGTCGATCTGTCCTGTGGCAAAGGGAGGGAAAGGCAAGCTTGAGTCTGTCTGCTAGACTCAGGTCCTACTCACTGCCTTCAGGTTATACTAGCCTGCATTACTCCAGGTCAAAAATGCCTCCCTTTGATAACTGTGGTGTGTGTGTGTGTGTGTGTGTGTGTGTGTGTGCGCGTGTGTGTGCGTGTGTGTGTGTGTGTGCACGTGCGTGTGTGTGTGTGAAGTGAGTGCATGTGCAAGTACCTGTGTATATGACATAGAAACATATCAAGAGGAAATGCCCCTCATCAAGTAAAAGGAGGAAAAATGATGGGCACAAAATTGAGACCAGGACTTTGTCAAGGACCTTGAAATCAGGAGCCCCAAACTTTTCAGCCCCTTGGCTACAGGTAAAATAGTTTTTGGGGACGATGATGAGGCAGCTCTTCCAGCTTTGCAGCCACCAGGTGTTAGGATTGCGCATGGCTTCCCCTGGGCACCAAGGTCCCGACTGCCCTGTGCCCCAGCCTCTAACAAATAGGAACAGAAGGGTGACCTAGGAAAGCCTTCTGCAGGCCTCACTCTCCCTGCCAGACACTGTAAGGGCAATGTCTCCATAGGAACAGGGTGCTATTAACGAGCACAGCGCCAGGGTGAAAAAGTCTCTTGTCCAGGCTTGTTCACTCACGCTAGTGAGAGGAGCTGATCTGTGAACTTGGGACTCCATGACTTAAAGTGCACGGCCCTTCCAAAGCCACGCCACACAGATGCAGCTCGGTGGAATGAACAAATGATTTAGGGAGCCAGCACATGAGTGCATAAGAAGTGAATGGAAAGGGCTGGAGAGATGGCTTAGTGGTTAAGAGCATTGGCTGCTCTTCCAAAGGTCCTGAGTTCAATTCCCAGCAGCTACATGGTGGCTTACAACCGTCTGTAATGAGATCTGGTGCCCTCTTCTGGCCTGCAGGAATACATGCAGGCACATAATAAACCTTAAAAAAAGAAGTCAACGGGAAAGGGAGAAAGTGATCTAGAGAAAGAATCAATGAGCCAAACAATAAGGTAAACTGAGAACCCTTCCTGTGCTCAGATGCAGTCAGATGTCAGAAATCAGCAACGAGCAAGACAGAGGCAGCTCCTGGGGGAAGCCAGATGTGTATGGCAGCAAGATGCTCCAAGAACTTACAGGTGGCCTTCACCTGTTTAGGGGACCTACAAGGGTGCAGCTTTAAGTGGTGGCTGGGGTAGGGAAATGGAAGAGAGACGCCAGCCTGTGGAAGGCCCAGAACTGCAAAGACAGAGTGGGAAGAAGGGGGGAATATGGAGGCTTAAGGAGGGCCGCTCAGGGTGATACATTAGAGGTCTTGCTAACAACTGGCGACTGTTCGAAGGACAACAGGAAGCCAACATGTAGCCAGAGGTGGGTGGCACAGAGATGGCTTGGTCTCTCTGGCTCTCACCTGATGTCTTTGCATGTCTTCCCAGGGGCCCACTCCTGCTTTAAGAACACCATGCTGGCAGGTGAGTTGTTCTTATAGATCCTATAGGGGCAGGGTGGCTCAGGGATAGGGCTAACAGGTGGAGGACTGGGGAATTCACCTGCAGTTAGATTGCTGGGCAAACAGTTCCATCTGTAGGTTATAGGGTGCTCTGCCAAGAAGCCTTTGAGATGCTGGAACCACTTGCAGAGTAGTTTCAATAACATAGGATCCTTATTGGTGAACTGAGGTCACGTGGGCCTGGCTGAGTATTGGGTAACTCACAACAAAGTCCCTTATTATTCCTTTCAACCTTTAAGTGAGAGAGATCATTTGCCTGTTTATAGACTGGTTTATGTGCCTGGTACTGTCTGGGAGTTGGAGATGCTCCAGGATCCAGGATACTCACAGTTTTCCCCCTCCTCCATCTCCTTTCCTCCCTTCTGTCCTGTTCTGTCTTTCTTTCCTTCATTTTTGGAGACAGGCTGGCCTTGGATAATCCTCCTGCCTCAGCCTCCTAAGTGTTCGGGTTACAGGTGTGAGCCACCATGTCTGGGTAGAATAACTGTCGTTCTTAACACCTAGAGCTTGTCTCTAACAGGGCTCAGACAGTCATTAGAATGAAGAGGGATGAGTATCTTAGTAGGAGAGCTGCTATTGGCAAGGCATAGCGGGAGGTACCAAGTCAAAGGCCATACATTGTTTGGAACACAAGGAGAGGGGGAGCAGGATGTGGTCAGGGAGGTCAAGATCTATGGCGTGGGACGGAGAGAGGGAGAAGGGAGTGGAGGAGTGGTGGTGCTGGGAAAGGAAGCCGATAACAGCAAGAGACCCTCATCCATGGCAGCGGGCACAGGACAGGGTTCTAGCGGGCTGCATTCATCTTCTTTCTCAGGGGTGCCACAGGAAGCCCCACAGTCAGCAGTTGGAGAGAAGGGACAGTGGTATTGAGAGGCTTCCCGACTGGACATGGCCCTGAGTCGGGGGGCTAGCCTCATTCCCCACGAAGACCTAGAGAAGACGCCAAGTCCCAGCTCCTATGAGGTACCAGGAATAATGTCTAGCACCATGCCTAGGCCCACCCCAGACCTGGTCCTTGATCCTCTCCCGGCACATGGCTTGGCTCTCACTCCAGTCCTTCACCCAGCACGGAGTCCTGACCCAGAGGGAGTCGCTGGCCTTATGTCTACTAACACCTCCAACCCCAATGCCAGTGGTGCCACAGCTCCAACCTCCGTCCAGATCAACAGTGGCTCCGTGGACACGGCAGAGCAGAGTTTGAATCACATCTCCAGGCCCGACTTAGCAGGGACTATCGGCCCAGGCTCACAACCAGCTGGAAGCCACAGCGCTACCCAGGCTACTATTTTAAGTACAGAGAATCCTTCTAGGCCATGCTCTGAGGATGTCCCCAGGTCCCTCTCAAACAAGGTTTTCGATTTGGGTCAGAGTAACTCTAATCCATCCAGGCCTGAGCCAAACTTATTTGTAAGAGCTCTTTCCAGAGACGCCTTGGTCCGGATCCAGAGCATCTCCAGGCAGGGCTCTCAGGTGCCTCTTCTTTTAGCCTCCAACACTTCTTTGGACCCTATGCGCTCTGGGAACACCTCCAAGGTGAACTTGGATATAGCCCCAAACCAGAAAGAGTCCATCACCTTGACTTCACGTACTATTTTTGCGTCTGTTTCCAAAGAAGCCTTGAGTGCACCCTGGAACTCAAGCTCCCAGAGCTCCATCAATGTGACTTCCAGCAGCCGAACCAGGTCTGGTTTAAATGTGACTGTCACTCAGGCCTCACGTGTCAGCCTGATCCCTGGTTCCAGTGGAGGTCTCAGCCTGCACTCGAGCGCCAGAGCACCTACCTCCACTCTCTCTCCATCTTCCTGCATGACACTAATCCTGGGCTCTGAGTCCCTGAGCATGGATTCCAGCTTCCTGGTGAGCGACACCTCCACCTTGACCATGAGCAGCCAGCGGGATTATTCTGAGGACAACAGCATCCGCACCATGCCCCTGGAGGGGAATCTGGGGAAGTGGGACAGCCTGCAGGGTGTCACGGCTTTCCGCAGCCCTCCTGAGGGTGAGTAGGGAAGAGGAGGCAGCCTAGAAGGGTTATATATTCAGAGCCCTAAGACAGGGTAGGCAGCGGAGAGGAATGAGAAGGGAGTAGATGGCATTCACGGCACAGTGGTAACCATGCTCTGACCGGCATTTTGGCCAGCCGTATGACTTGAGTGTCAATTTTTTAAATTATAATATGATAATCCCCCCTCCCACTTTTTGACAAGGTCTCACTATATGTAGCTCTGACTAGCCTGGAATTCACTATGTAGATCAGGATGGCCTTGAACTTACAGAGATCCACTCACCTCTGTATCTCCAGTGCTGGATCAAAAGTGTCCCACCAGGCAATGATCCTTCCATTCAATTCAAAGCCTGAGTTCATCCACTATTCACATGCTCCATTCAGAAGGTCTTCCTCTTTTCTGTAAATGCCAGTCCTGACTCCCGTGGCTGATTTGGCCAGAGGAGCAGGGAAAGTCTAGGCGTAGCGGGATCGCCTCTCTAGCAATTTGAAGAACGCACTCAGGCCCTGACCTCTGGAGCAAATGCCTCCCTCCGTATATGCAGGAAGTCTGTTGCTGTATGTTCTCTCAGTTGGTATTTCTTTCATATCTTTTGGTAGACAGGGTCTTGTATAGCCTAGGATGGTCTCAAACTTGCTACAGACTGGAGGATGAACCTGAGTTCAGATCCCCCTACCTTCACATTTCAAGTGCAGAGATTGCAGCGCGTGTCACCACATCGGGATCAATCAATGTTTCTTTTTTGTTCCTGCACCACTGTCTTATTGTGATTACGTGTGTGTGCATGTGTTTACAGAGGTCAACCTCAGGTTTCACTCCTTAGGAGTCCTCCATCTGTGTTTTGAGACCAGCAGGGTCTCTCATTGACCTGAAGTTCACTGTGTGGGCTAGAGGCTGTTTAGCTAAGGGTGCTGCAGGGATTCTCCTGTCTCTGGTTTCCTGGCACTGAGATTACAAACACAGATTACCAATATCTGCTTTTTCCATGCTCCTGAGGATTAAACCCAGGTCATCATAGTCCCCCAACCCCAAGATTGTGATTTGAAAAGTTAGCATGACATCTAGGCATCGTAGCACAGGCTGTGATCCTGGCACTCTAAGGATGAAGAGAGGGTAAGAACATGTGGCCAGCCTGGGTTATATAGCAAGTTCATGACCAGCCTCTGTTACAAGACTCTCTCAACAAAGTAAAAAGCAAGCAAGCAAGCAAGCAAGCAAGCAAGCAAGCAAACCCATGGCTTTGTAATTATGTGTGCATATCTGCCAGGGTGAGAAGCCACGCATAAAACCTCACTCAGATTCACTAGCCATTAGTAAACCTTTTCCTCCATACACGTTTATTAGCTGTTGTAATTTTGAGTCAGGGCCTCAGTTCATGTGTAGTTCATGCTGGCCTCAGACTTACAATTCTCCTGTCTCTATCTTCCAGGAGTGAGATCACAGGAGCAGGGCATACCTGGGCCTTGAAGACTTTATTTTAAACTAATTAATACATTTTTGATCCTAAGGATCAAACCCAGGGCCTTGGGTGTGTTAGGCAAGTGTCCCGCTCACTGAGCTACATCCCACGTCTGTACATTTTGTATAACTGGAGTTATATAATTTCTATAATTTGTGGCCCTTTGTGATTGGCTTATTTCACACAGTAAATCCTTTTCAAGTTTTGCTTGTACTGCGGTGCAGGCCAACACTTCATTCTTGTGTTGAAAGTATCCTCTCCTGTGGATATAGACATTTTGTTTATACCTATTTGTTATCAAATATTTTAACCTCAACGGAATCACAGGACCAAGGGAACCAAGGTCCTTGATTGACCAGTAGAGCAAGGTTAAATCTTGCTGTGTAGCTCAGACTAGACTCCAATCTCAGCCTTGCTGCCTCTGTTCCCTAAATGCCGCTATGCCCATAGGAAGATGTGTCTTTGGTGGCTGGATGCAGGAGAAGCAGGGAGGAAGGCTCGTAGACCAGCTTCTTGACTTGTTGACAGTGGAGAAGTCATAGATACAGAGTCAAAGAAATGACAGGAGAGATGGGCTGATGAAGAGAGATACTCAGTCCTTTCCCAGAGCCATAGAAAATGGCTGGGAATTTCTTTTTGCTCTTTTTACTATCTTCCTGGCTGTTCTCACTGCAGCTGTTAGCTGTCATGGTAATGGTGGTGGTGGCGTGTGCTTGTGTCATTAAGATTTAGCATGTAGATGGATTGTAACAAAGTTAGAGGTTGTCTGGAAGTTTTATTTCAACTGGGTTTAGCTGGTCCACCTGGAGAGACTGCTGGCAAGATAAGATCAGGGCAGGATAGACACTCAAGTGAGTCACCTGGGTAAGGTGACAACTGACAGACATTTGAGTTTTCTCTGTGTTTTGATTCTCCTCCTCCTCCTCTTCCTCCTCCTCCTCCTCTTCCTCCTCTTCCTCCTCTTCCTCCTCCTCCTCCTCTCTCTCTCTCTCTCTCTCTCTCTCTCCCTCTCTCTCTTTCTCTTCAACTTCCTCTCTTTCTTTAACAGACAGGGTCTCTTGTACCCTAGGCTGGCTGACCTTGAGTTCCTTTGAATTTCTAATCCCTCTGACTCCCACCTCTGGAGTTTGGGGATTACATACATGGCCCAGCATGCCTGGTTTTATATGATGGGGATCATACTCAGGGCTTTGTACACGCTAGGGAAACATTCTACCAGCTGAAACATTCGCAGCCCGCTGTTGGCTCTTTTAATTTTTAAAGTCACATTGATTGATTGATTGATTGCCACCGTGCGTGTGTGGAGGTCAGAGGATAACTCGCAGGTGTCAGTTCTCTCTGTCATGTGGGTCCCAGGATCTAACCCAGACCATCAGACTTGAACACCTTTACCAGCTGAATCATCTCACCAGCTCTCTTCTGCTTATTTTAAACAATGCCGCTATTGCCAGAGTGAGGGAGGGAAAAAGCCTGCCTCCAGGGAGTCCCAGTGAAGTACCATACCAATTTCCCTAGAAAGTCCAAGTTGAACAACTATGAAGGCCAGAAGGGAAGCTTTATTCTCAAGGAATCCTGTTGGGGAGAATGGAGGTCTCACGGGCAGGCACTTGTCTAGGGTGCTCTCGCAGTTTCAGGGTTACACAGGTACGGGTAACAAAGGTTAGGGTTGGAGAGTTGGGGTTTCCACGGTTGGTAACCCAGGTCTGCTTGGACTGGTCACAGGCTGCTTGATAGTTACTTCCTCCATTTTCTCAAGAATGTCCATGCAGAGAACTTGTCTGCACCGAGAAACCACCCTGTTGTGTGGCGTGGTCTGGGTCATTTATCTTAATGTCTTCACCAGGCCTGGAGTTACTGGGACAAACCATAGGGAAGAGAAACCAAAGGGAGCCCGGAAGGAGGAAAACCAGAAACAATATGGGGCTACCTGTGTTAGTGACTGGGCTTTCCTGGTAGCAGAGCCCCTGGTCATGTGATGAGTGGGAGGCGGGTCTGGCTTTTTGTCTTCTGTCCTCCACAGTAACAGCTAACTTCTAGGATGTGCAATGACATCTGGTGCCGAGGGTCTTTTTATATAGGGACAGGCCATTTCTGTGTCTTCTCTGAGAAATTTCTACTCCAAATCCTTTGCCTGTTTTTGTTTTCTCCTTCCTCCCTCTGTTCTTCCCCCCACTTTTTTTTTTTTTTTTAAATCTGAGACACGGTCTCACTCTGTAGCCCAGGCTAACCTGAAACTCACTAGGTAGTGTTGATTGGTATTAAATTTGCAGCAATCCTCCTGTTTCAGGTCTCCAAATGCTGGGATTACAAGCGTGAGTTATCATGCCTGATTTTAATATTTTTAATAATAAAGTGATAGAACCCTTGCATAGTGCATGCAAGACCTGGGATTCTACTTAGAGAGGAGAGAGAGAAGGAGGGAGAGAGGGAGAAAGAGAGAGGAAGAGAGGAGAGAGAGGAGAGAGGGAGAGACAGAGATAGAAAGAGAAGAGAGAGATAAGGAAAGAGGGAGAGAGAGGATTTTAAAAAAATGTATACAAGGTTTTGCTCTGTAGCCCAGGTTGACCTGAAACTCATGATCCTTCTTTGGTCTATTGAATTCTGGGACTCCAAGTGTGTGCCTGATTCTCTCTTATTAGGTACACCTAGAACAGTGTGGTCATAGAGTAGGCACATATCACACGTGTGTCTGTTGTGTGTATGTGTTTGTGTGTGTGTGTGTTGGGAATGATTTGAACTCAGATCCCCATGTTTGTATGACAGGCACTTTACCAACGGAACCATCTCGCCAGCTCTTTACATGATTTTTGTTTGTTAGTTTTTATGCTACATATGTATGTGTGGTATATGTGCATGTATGTGCCTGTTCACATGTGTTTGGGTACACATGCCTTTTGATGGCTGAGGCTGACACTAGGAGTCTTTCTTGACTGCTCTTTATTCATTGAAGCAGGGTTTCTAATTGAACACAGAGGTTGCCTATATGGCCAGTCTAGCTAACCAGCTTGCTCCAAGGATCCCCTCTCCGCCTCTGAGACTCTCACTGGCAGGCCACCATACTCACCTGTGTGTGTGTGGGTGCTAGGAATCTGAACTCAGCAAGTGCTTTATCCATGAACCCACCTCCAGCCCCTTAGTGTTTTTTTTTAAAAGCTTACAGAATAGTCGAAAGCACATCATTAAAATCTTTCTTTCCCCTGAGTCACTTGTTAGTAAGCCCCTAAATTTTCAGCACATTTCTTACCAAAAAAGCACAAAATATAACCACCGTAAACAAGTCATTAATGTTTCTATGTCTCCCCCCAGATTCTCGTACGCTACTCAAGTGTGGTCAGCTCTCCCAGCACTGTCCTAAGAGGCTCCAGCTGAGAGTCTTGTCATTCTGTCTGTCTTGTTTGGCCTCCTTCTGTTCTTGGTCTTCTCTGCCTTTCATTTCCTTGTGTAAGGTTGGGGGCTGGCCAGATTCAGGTCCCACAGCATTGGCAGGAGTAGCTGGGCAGACATACCGGCTTTCTCACTGTGCCCCCTCTGGCGGCTCGTGGTTTTGATTTTTTTTTTTTAAACTTCTTAACGTTTTTATTGAGCTATACATTTTTCCTACTCCCCTTCCTTCCTCCCCTTTCCCTTTCTAACCTCTTCCCTGCCCCCACGCTCCCAGTTCTCTGGAGCTGAGGACTGTAGTCTGCTTATCCTTTGCTTTGCTTTATTTCTTCTATCCACTTCTGAGTGAGTACTTACCATATTTGTCTTTCTGAGTCTGAGTTACCTCACTCAGGATGGTTTTCTAGTTCCATCTATTTGCCCGCAAATTTCATGATGTCATTGTTTTTTTTTTTTTTTTGAAGTGGAGTAATAAACACTCCATTGTGTAAATGTACCACATTTTCTTTATCCATTCTTCAATTGAGGGGCATGTAGGTTGTTTCCAGGGTCTAGCTATTACAAATAATGCTGTTATGAACATTGTTGTGCAAGTGTTCTTGTGGTATGATTGAGTATCCCTTGAGTACATTTCCGAGTGATATTGCTGGGTCTTGAGATAGATTGATTCCTAATTTTCTGAGAAACCACCATACTGATTTACAGAATGGCTGTACAAGTCTGCACTTCCACCAGCAGTGGAGGAGTGTTCTCCTGATTCCACATCCTGTCTAACATAAGCTGTCCTCAGAACTCTTAGTTCTGATCTTCGTTATTCTGACAGGTGTAAGATGGTTTCTCAGAGTCACTTTGATTTGCATTTCCCTGATGATTAAGGATGTTGAACAATTCCTTAAACGTCTTTTGGCTATCTGAGTTTCTTCTGTTGAAAATTCTCTATTTAGCTCTCCACCTCATTTTTATTTTTTTCGAGATAGGGGTTCTCTGTAGCTTTGGAGCCTGTCCTGGAGCTAGCTCTTGTAGACGCTGGTCTCGAACTCACAGAGATCCGCCTGCCTCTGCCTCCCGAATGCTGGGATTAGAGGTGTGTGCCACCACTGCGCAGCCCAATTTTTAAATTGTATTTTTTGGTATTTTGGTGTCTAGTTTCTTTCTTTCTTTCTTTCTTCCTTCCTTCCTTCCTTCCTTCTTTTCTTTTCTTTCTTTTTTTTTTTGGTTTTTCAAGACAGGGTTTCTCCGTAGCTTTTGGTGCCTTTCCTGGAACTAGCTCTTGTAGACCAGGCTGGCCTCAAACTCACAGAGATATACCTGCCTCTGCCTCCCAAGTGCTGGGATTAAAGGTGCCTGGCCTAGTGTCTAGTTTCTTGAGTTCTTTATATATATTGGAGATCAATTCTCTGTCCAATGTGGGATTGATGAATATCTTTTTTCATTCTGTAGGCTGCATTTTGTCTTATTGACCATTTATTGATTGTTTCTCTCAGTGTCTGTGCTCCTGGTGTTCTATTTAGGAAGCGATATCTTGTGCCAATGTGTTCAAGGCTACTTCCCACTTTCTTTTTTATCAGGTTCAGTATAACTGGCTTTATGTTGAGGTCCTTGATCCACTTGGACTTGAGGGTTTTTTGTTTGTTTTTGTTTTGCTTTTTTTTTTTTTCCGAGACAAGGTTTTTCTGTAGCTTTGGTACCTGTCCTGGAACTAGCTCTTGTAGACCAGGCTGGCCTCTAATTCACAGAGATCCACCTGCCTCTGCCTTCCGAGTGCTGGGATTAAAGAAAGGCATGTGCTACCACCGCCTGACTTTGGACTTGAGTTTTGTGCATGTTGACATCCAGTTATGACAGCACCATTTGTTAAAGATATTTTCTCTTTTTCCATTGTCCCCTTTTGCCTTCTTTGTCAGAAATCAGGTGTTCATATGTGCATGGATTAATGTCAGGGTCTTCAGTTTGATTCCATTGATCTACATGTCTGTTTTTATCCCAATACCAAGCTGTTTTTATAGTAGAGCTTGAGGTCAGGGTTGGTGATGCCTCCGGAAGTTCCTTTATTGTACAGGATTGTTTTAGCTATTCTGGGCTTTTTGTTTTTCCATATGAAGTTGAGTAATGTTCTTTGGTTTTGATTCTTGGCAGGAGGGCTGTGCTGAGGTTCTACACTGGGAAGCCTTGTTTTTCCCTTCTACTATCTTGTGATGAGGGAGGGCGTTGAACACACATAATTATCCCGCTCATCTAAAATTTCAAGTTATGGGTACATTTATTTGTGTCGTTTTCTAGTTTATTTAAGGGTTATAAATCAGTTGCTATCATAGTTATGTTGATAAGATTTCCTTAGTTTCTGCGGCAGAACTTCCTCCAGGTAAGCATGTATGTTCTTCCATTCTCCTCGGAGCTCTCCTTGTTTTCTGGGGCCAGAGTCCCAGGCTCAACCTAGACTTTCCTGGGACCTGCCTTTCCTCCCAGGAGCCTCTCTGTTTTCAGTGGAGAATAGTAGTTAGAAGCCAATGTCTTGGACCAGTTGTGTTCTCTTCCCTTTGGCTCAGCCCTCTTGCATCCTCTGGCAGCTAGACCAAGTTCCTCCTGAATCCCTGCTCGCCCAGACCCTGGTGGCTTTGACCTCAGATGGATAGAGATCTGTTCTCCTTCAGTGTCCCCTTAAACAGAGGCACTTATTGGCCCTCATCAGCTAAGTACCCATCCCTCCTGGTCCTGTCAATTAGGGGAACGGGACACTCTAATTGGCCAAGCTTGGATTGCAGACCAATTCCTCTTTGAAAAGAAGAATGGGTGGGGTGTTTACTTAATTGCTGGGAATAGGAACCTACAGGAAAGAAAGGGGCTCTTTCACCCAAAGTAAAGCAAGGGATCTGGGCTGAGAAAATAGCACTCAGCCACAGTAACAAGGGTTTATCAAAGGGATAAGCCCTGAAGGACACAAACAGCCTGTTCTGGGCCGAACTTGTGCTTTCACTTATCCCGTAGGCCAGGAGAAGTCTTTGAGAGGTGTGGCAGGCAGGGTGAGGCCTGAAAACGAGATCCCTAGGGCATAGTGGCTGGAATAGAGAAAACCACCTGACCAGAAGCTTGCCTGGAACTGGACAGAGGCCAGTAGAGACAGACCTGGGAATGGAGGAGAGCCGGGGAGATAAAGCTGGACAGGTGGACAGGGAGACTGACCAGGCAGGGCCACAACACACGATCAATGACAAGGAGTTTCACTGAAGGCTTCTAGGGAGAGTCCACGGCAAGAGCTGATTTACATTTTCAAGCTTTGTGGGTCTGGTGAGAGAGTGAGGACTGGAGAGGAGAGATGGGAAGATGGCTTCCTGGGGATACCATGCTCTACTTTTCCCTCTTTCACCGAATCTGTGACGTGCAGGAACCTCTGAAGATGGGAAGGTCAATGTGCCAGAGGACAGAGACGATGGCAACAAAACAGCTCTGGTACGCTCAACTGTTGGTCCCTTCCCTCTGTCCCCTCCCTTCTCCTTCCCCCCTCCCATCCTGCCCTCCTTGCCCATCCTCTTTTTGGGTAGAGTCTTGCTGTTTAACCTTAGCTGGTCTGGAACTTGATATGTAGAACAGGTTGGCATCGAGCTTGTAGCAATCCTCCTGTCTCTGCCTCCTGAGTGGTGGGACACCAGGTACGCGTCACCACACCCAGTCCTGGCTTGGCCCCGCTCACCCCTCTGCTCCATCTCTGCTTCCTCCCGGGAGCTCTGCGCTACCTGATGCACTGAGTGGTCACCAGCCCCTCTTGTTGCTCATCCACCTCCATTTCAGTTTCCTTTGCGCCACTGTGACCAAAAGACCCGACAGAAACAGTTCAAGGGGGGAAAGGTTTATTTGGCTCACGGATTCAGAGGGTGTCAGTCATCCCAGCGGGAGGCGGGGCGGAGCAGTCGGTTTAAGGCTGTGGGAGTGTGTGGCAGATACCGCACTTCCAGAAGAAGCAGCGATGGTGCAGCAGGAAGCAGACCATACCCCTAACACTGTTCCCTAGTGATTGACTTCTTCCATTCAGGCCATGCAGCCTAAAGGATCCACAGTCTCTCCTTACAGTGTCAGCAGCTGCAGACGGAGCATGTGGGAAACATTTCAGATTCAGACCCCAGCAGTCTCTCCCACTAGAGTCTTCCAAAGAAGGCCAGGAATCTTTGTCTTACAGCCGAGCCTTCAGGAGGCAGAGTAGTGCTTGGCAAGTAGGTTCTGAATAAAAGTCTTTATTTTTTTTCAAGACAGGGTTTCTCTGTGGCTTTGGAGCCTGTCCTGGAACTAGCTCTGTAGACCAGGCTGGTCTCGAACTCACAGACCTCTGCCTCTGCCTCCCGAGTGCTGGGATTAAAGGCCTGCACCACTATCGCCAAAAGTCTTTAACAGCTGAATGACTTGTGGGAGGGGCTCTGAAAGGGACAGAAAGGCTAAAAATAGTCTGGACTGTATAGCAGAAAAGGCCAGGCCAGTAGGGGCAGACAATTGTGTTATACACGTATGGATGTGGTGGGATGGTCTGCAGTCAGGAGCAGTCTCCTCCTCTAGAGAGTGGGCCTGTGGAGTTGAAGTGAGGCCCTTTCAGACCCAAGCTCAGGGCCAGTACAGGGAAGGCAATCCCTGCCCTCATTCAGCGAGCTTGACAGGGCTCTACAATGTGCCGGGCGCTAATTCCAACTCCAAGCACAGAATAGTGACCTGATATTTTAGGCTGGGTCAATAGACACTTCCCCTTATGTTGGAGGCCAGCCAAGACAAAAATACCCTCTTCCAGAGTGGAGGCATGGGAATTTAGAAATATAGTAAAGAATACAAAGAGCGAACGAAAATAATAAAATGCAGAAACATATAGGATGGTATAGGGAGGGAATTTCAGTGAGTACTGAAAATTCACCAGTGTTTGATTTCCAACTGGTTAATATACCCCTGACCCTAAAACACAGAAGTAAAACAAAAGACTGCATTGACATACAAATTGAAAGTCGTGGGCTATATTCATCGCTGGTGTCCTAGACTCATGACCTAGACCAAACACTCTGTAGGCAAATTCCACCACTCCCTGGGTGGAATCCCAAGTTATTTTCACAAAGGGAACTGGAACTTAGTTGGATTCTTAGACTTTTGTTTTAGGTAGGAACCAACTACTTCCCTATTTCAGGAGCACAGGTCTGACAACTAGGTACACCTGTGGACAATAGCCTCAAGAGAGCAGAACCCTGATTCACAACTAGGTGGGACCTTTGCTTGAGTTAGAAGCTCAATGACCTTGAATGAACTAAAAACCAGTTCCAAACTCTCTGACCTTTGGCCTCTTTGGGCCTCCACACCCTTACTCTTGTTACTCAGAATTAAGCCTGACTGTCCACTCATGAGCGGCTGTCCCTGGCTATTCATTCTATATTTATATATAGGTATATATTCTATATTTATTCTATACTGGCACCCTTCCCCCTTTTCAAACTGCAATTAATAACCCAAAGCAGTTCAGTTCAGTCTGCTGCTGGGGAGGAAGGATTCCCAGGGTGACCTTCTCTTTGCTGCTGTTTGACTGAATTCAGCTGGGTGGTTCATCTGTTCTACATTGTACAGACAGATCTCTTAGGGGGCTGAAACTTGATTGTCCCTTATTCACGAGGCTCCCTGTCTGCATGGGCTCATTCCTCCTTAGTCTAGTCTGACTTTCCTTCAGCATGATGTCTGGGTGGCAGAAAGGAGGAGCGTGTGCAGGGGTAAACACTGACACACGCTCCTTTCACAATAGTCTGAGCCAGAGCTGGAGAAGATTCTGTCGATTGATGGGACAAGCAGGAAAGAACTTTTTATAATGGATTAAGTAAAAATGCTGCAGATCCCCCAAGTGGCAGGCAGTGGGCACCGGGTCCCGAAAGCAGCCAGTCCCAGGCAGGCACAGCGCAGTTCTCCAAGTGGCAGTGAGTCCCATGAGGAGAGACAGACAGATGATGCTACGAGACCATGCCACAGGTCTCCAAAGGCAGCTGGTCCTGGGCAGGGAGCCACTTGGTGGGCAAGAGACATGGATAGGTGAGGTTGGATATTTATTTAGTGGGTTATGGAAGGGAAGGGGAGAGGGAGTAAGGAGAGAAGGGGGAAGAGCAGAGAGAAACAGAGAGAGAGACTGAGGGGGGGGATGGGGAGAGAAGGGAAAGAAAGGGACTCAGGCTGGAAGCTGAAGATCAGCTGCCTCAGGGGATGGGGGAGGGAGTGGGTGTGACTTGTCTCTTAAAGGGACAGAGCAGACCGGTACACTTGTGGCCATCATTAACATTCCATAGTCTGCATCAGATTAAGGTGGCTTTTTTTCTTCACTGTGTAATGTTAAGCTATTCATTTCATATGACCCTGTTCTTCCTCCTTAAGATGATGGGAATCAATAGGTTGACACAGGCAAATGGGCTCCATCTCTCACGTAGCAGAATGCCTTAACTGGACTGGAACTTACCAAAAGGCTTAGGAAGAAGTGTTACTGGTGGTAGACTTTCAGGTTGAGGTCTATGGACCCTTAAGGTCTGTCCTCCTTTAGTTGATTAGAGAGGGAAGGTGCCTTATAGTCCCTCAAATGCAACTTCAGGAGCCATCCTTCCCATCACTAACCATCACTAATCTTCTTCTTTTTTTTTTTGTTTTTTTTTTGTGCGGGGGTGGGGAGGGGGGTTTCGAGACAGGGTTTTTCTATAGCTTTGGAGCCTGTCCTGGAACTAACTCTTGTAGACCAGGCTGGCCTCGAACTCAAAGAGATCTGCTTGCCTCTGCCTCCCGAGTCATGGGATTAAAAGCGTGCGCCACCACCTGGCTCTAATCTTCATATATACCCAGACACCCCCTGCAGAAACATGTCCCTTCTCTTGGGCTGTGATAGCTTTAATTGTCAGCTTGATGTAACCAAGAATCACCTGGGAAGAGAGTTCCAGAGAAAGTGTCTAGACCATGTGTATATGTCTTCAAGGGATTATCTTTTTTTGATTTGTACTTTTTATTGATATTTATTGAGCTCTACATTTTTCTCTGCTCACCTCCCTGCCTCTCCCCTTCAAACCTCCCCCAAGGTCCCCGTGCTCCCAATTTACTCAGGAGATCTTGTCTTTTTCTACTTTCTACTTCTCAAGGGATTATCTTGAGTACATCAGTTGGGTACTGGCCCACTGTGGGTAGCATCATTCCCTAGGCAGGGATCCTGGACTGTCCCGAGAGGGGGAGAGAGGAGCTGAGCACTTGATTGCCTATGGGTGTCATGTGACCATTACTCTAAAGCTTCTGTCCTGTGACTTCCCCACCACGATGAATGGTACCCTGAACTGGGAGCCAGAATAAATCCTTTCCCCTTAGGTCGCTTTTTGTCAGGGTGTTTATATTCGTTTATTTACTTTGGGTTTTTTTTTGAGATAGGGTCTCTTTGTGTAGCTCTGGCTGTCCTGGAACTTGTTCTGGAGACCAGGCTGGCTTCAAACTCACAGAGATCCACCTGCCTCTGCCTTCTGAATGCTGGGATTAAAGTTGTATGCCACTAGGCCAGGTTTTGTTGGAGTATTTTATCACAGCAATCAGAAAGCAAACCTAGACATGGACCGATGCCAGGGTTGGGTGGCTTGGGAGAGCTGCAGGTGCTGGGTGACCAGAGGGTGCTGTCCATGCTGCTCAGATGGAGGGCAGGACTCAGGGAAACCCTGTGGTTCTGCTTCCATGGCCCTGAAGGTAGAAAACACCATTGCTTTCCAGAAGGATCAGGACCTGATAGAAACGAAAGGAGAAAAGGAGACAATGGTGAAGATGATGATGGTATGGGAGCCACAGGCCCAGTGCTGCGGGGGTGGGACTTCCGGAGAGAGCTGGGAGGGGGATAGGAGCAGGAGGCAAGCCTCTTGGGCTTGAGGCTCGGTTCTACCTCTCACTGCCCCTCCTACCAAGAGGGAGCATGAACAAGTTATTTCCCTTTTCTGAGCCTTACTCTTCTCATCTCAGAAATGGGTATGATCATGCCTAGCTTTGCTTGTGGGAAGACACGACCCAGGGATTAGCCCATTGTGAAGTCTATGCAGCTGAGAGAAGCTGCTGTCAACTCTTTCTCCCCCTCCCCAGAGATCCCTCTTGGTGGGTAACTTCAGAGAGCTTCCTAAAGCAGCTTCCTCTTAACCATACATCACTCACCATGGGGGCTTTCACAGTTATATTTGGTTTTGTGGTTCTTAAGAGAGAAAGGGGCTAGAGGGCTTAGCCTAGACAGTGGTGTTTGCCTCACAAGAAAGAGTTCCTGAGTTTAAAGCCCAGGACATACATAAAAATCAGGCATGGTATTTAGACACACCTTTATAATCCCAGCGCCGAGGAGACATAAAGGGCGCTCTGGTCAATCAGACCAGCCTAACTGACCCGCTTTGGAACCCAAGAGAGTTCTTGCCTCAAAACCAAGATGTGTGGCTCCTTAAGAATGATACACTCTGGTCTCTGCATACATGTGCACGTGAGCACACACACACACACACACACACACACTCCTCACATACCCATCTGCCCATACACGATGCATAAGAAAAGAAACTTTCTCCCTTTGATTAGCTGACGTTAATTGAACACCTACCTTGTGTAGTTGTTAGATGGCAAGTGAAAAGTAGGAGGATGTTTGAGGAATTTGACTGGACAGCTCTCAGTGGCCACGCCTGGTGCTTGTTACGTGGGTCAGTTCCACGGTTTAGCTGTCAGTCACAGAAAGGGTACCATGGGGATGGCCATTACTGAGCTCTCCACGTGGGACGCGCAGATCAGGGCACTGAGGGTTGAGTGGTCTTGAGAGCTTGAGGTTGGTCTAGGCGGTAGCTGGCTCTCCTACCTGTCCACTGGGAGAGTGTGCCCAGGTCCAGAGCCGGCATGACCTGCTGTCTGAGCCTGGGAGTCAGCCACAGCTGCCCTCACCGGCTTTGTGCTCTCCACCCAGAGACAGATTCAGGAAGAGCCTGTGGATTCCCTTTTGAGCCCTGTCCGCCGGCAAGCCATGGAGATCCTGGCACAGCTGAGGTACCCACCGATTGTGTGTGTCTCTCTCTCCTAAGCTCTGCTCCTTCTCCTGAGTCTCTGTCCACTCGGAGCCATTCCCTCTCTCCCTGCCCTGTCTCCACAGAACAGGTCACCTCCACGCTCTTGCTCGCCCCTCAACTTGTCCCAGGTGGCCTAGCTGAAACAGTTGCCCTCTTCCCCACTATGTCCTTGACCCCTCCTTCACTCCACCCCTTGCATTCTCTCTCTCTCTCTCTCTCTCTCTCTCTCTCTCTCTCTCTCTCTCTCAGTCACACCAAGCCTGCCCTGAGTATGCGGGACAGGGTGGAGCTGGTGAACACCTGTGTGCGGAGCGTGTTCTCCCTGCCCTCGGTGCGAGCCATGCAGGAGAAAGACGAGGCCAAGGCAGAGGTCATCCAGGTGAGCCCGCTCCTCCTGGTGGGTCTTTAGGTTGGGGACAGAAGGGACAACTCGCAGGAATGAGTAGGGGCTTTCTATAATTAGTCCGCCGTGAGCCCCCCCCCCCCAGTGTGTCCCCCAATCCTTGACTGTTGGAATCACTGGAGTGACTCACCTCTCCTGTGTCAGCCTGAACAGGTGCTCGATAACCGTTTAGCAAATGAGGGAACTATTACATTAGTGACTCCCTAAGAGGGCGTGTCCACTTGTAAGCCCTGTCCTGTATCTGGGATGTAGACAGAGGCTCCAGAGTCATAAAAAGGGGCCAGGTTTAGAGGGTAGGACCAAGGACTGGGCCGTAAGGAAGAAGACTGGGGAAAACTGGGCAGAGATCTGGAGGAACAGAACCTCAAAGAGGGTTTGGCAAGCATCCTGAAAGCCTCAGCAGAGTTATTCCTGGAGGTACCAGTGGGGTGGGCCTCAGCTGAAGGATACTGTAGGATGCAAGGAGAGCTAGGGTCAGGCGGGAGGTTGGGTGAGAGGAAGCCCAGCTGTTCCATCCCCCTTTTACTCAGCAGGTGTTAACCGTGTCCCTGGCCACATCACTATGGCCATCTTGTAGCAGTGGGGATGGGGTGGGGGTGGGGAGAGTGCTATCAAAGAATCAGTCAAATGCAAAATCTCAGGGGTACCAAAAGGAGTGTGGATGAGGGACATGGCCTAGGGAGGGTGGGAGATGTTGTGATTCCTTGAAAGAGGGTGTTATAAAGAACCTGTCCAGAACCCGTGCCAACTGCCAGGACGACAAGAGGCAGTGTGACTGGAGCCTGAAGGGTGAGACAGGAACTCTGAGAGCTTAGGATGGTAGGAGTCAGACCACACAGAAAGATAAACTCTGGGTTCTCAAGTTGGTGCCTTGTGGGGACTCAAGGTCACCACCAGAATCCTTGCTGTGGAAAGAACAGGCTCTCTTGTAGTTACGAGTATTGCCGGCAGAGGGCAGTAGTGTCTAATAAGCAGCAGCCATAGAAGCAAGCGGGTTGTAGGGCTTGCTTAGTGGTTGAGGTGTGATCCTAAGGGCCACTGACTCTAGAGTGTGTGAAATTAGGAAGCTGGGATAAGGACAACCCAGGGAATAGACTTCTGGAAGCCCGCAGAAGGAGAGCAGGTAAGAAAGAGAGGGTCTTCCCTTAGCAGTCTGAGCTCCACCACTCAGCTTTGCTTGTCCTCATGGAGCAACTGTGGGACTGTAGTATAGGAAAATAAGGAGGAACCTGGGCAAGGCAGAGATGGCTTCCCTAAGGGTGGCCTGGGATCTAAGGGGGTCTGGAAGTAACAGGAAGCAGAACACTTTGGAGAAGATAAAGCCAGATAGGCCTGACAGTTCTCCAGCCCTAAGTCTTTGTTCCTTGCTGCGAGACCTTGGATAGGTGTTCCCGGATCTGTAAAATGAGAAAAACAATTCAAAGACCAAGTGATGGAGGATGCTCAAATCACCAGGCACTTGTCTGGCGCGTGCCAGGCAGCGAATGCCAGGCTTTTCTGCTCATGCCCCCGCCCCTGGGAAGTCCGGGGATACTAATTTCCAATTTGTTGCTAAATAAACTCGATTCCACAGAGAGGAAGTAATTTGCCTACTACTGTATATTAGGTGAGGCACAGAGATGGGACCAGATACAGTTTTTGTGTGTCCAAGTGCACCCTCCTCCAGGACCAACCCAGGGGGTGTCTGGGGCTGGCAGCTTTGCTGGGAGCCCCCAGCAGCCCTGTCCTCTTTCTGTCCACAGACACTTTACCACCAGACCTTAGATTCCTTGCAGAAACTGCTCAATGCTCTCTTTATCGAAGACCCTACGCCCGCGGGACTGAAGAGCATCTTGGAGGTGTGCGGCACGGTGGCTGGGGAGGGAGCGGGGAGGCAGAGGGAAACAGGAAAACTTGATAGAAGTGGGAGGTGGAGCCCAAAGAAGTGACTTCAGGATACCAGCTCAAATTCGAGCTCTGCTTCCTCATCGTATTTTATACTGTTTTATTGAGTTTTTGATGATACTGGGGGTTGGACCTAAGCCCTCACACCTCCTAGGCAAGCTCTACCTACTGAGATACAGCCCCCCCTTTTTTTCTTTTTGGTTTTTCGAGACAGGGTTTCCCTGTGTAACAATCATAGCTGTCCTGAAACTAGCTCTTGTAGACCAGGCTGGCTTCGAACTCACAGGGATTCACTTGCCTCTGCCTCCTGAGCGCTGGGATTAAAGGTGTGCGCCACCACTGCCTGGCACCATAGCTCTTTTTAAAACTTTTTTATTTGTAGACATTGTCTTAGTGAGCTGCCCAGTATGATCTCCTGAGTAGCGGGGGTCACAGGCCTGGACCTCTGCCCTTGTGCTCCCTACAGCCATCCCTTGCAGCTCCTGCCCTTGCCTCCCCCCCCCCTTCCTCCATCCTGACCCCTGTTGCTGTCCCTTCCATGCCTCTTCCTTGACCCCTCTCCCTTCCTCTGGTCTGAGTCCCATTCTCAGCTCAAACCCCATCTGTCATTGAGCCACCAGAGAAGGAGAACTATGGCTAATTGCCTTCTTCTGGAAGATTCTTGCAAGCTATTGGCTTACCTGTTGGACAGTAAGGGCTGGCAGTCAATGGCAGCAGAGTCTCTCCCTTGTCCCCATAGCCCCTAGGGCCCTGGATGAACTCTGGGAAGGCCCATGAGCGAGCACGGGCTGTGAACAGCAACATCTCTGTGCTGAACCACACACTCGTGACCCTGCCTTTCTCCGTGAGTGTTCCTGGAGGGGTGGACACGCTGGGGACTCTTCTCTGCTGATCCGCTGCTGTCAGGGCAGCTTGCCCTGCACTATATAGCTACAGAGTCCCTCCCTGTGGTTATGACACTAACAGATGTCCTCAGGGTTCCCAGCACTGGGTCTGCTGCTGGGGAGGCTCCTTCTTCGTATCGGGGATCCTGATGAAGAGAACGGCCGGGAGGCTCTGGACGGCATTGCCATCCTCTACACTATCCTGGATCTCCAGAAACGTATGTCCCAAGCAGCTGCAAAACTAGAGAGGGGAGCTTGGTGGTCCAGTTGGGCAACTGGAAGAAGGGCAGCAAGGGTCACGTAGGGATTGGGAGCTGATGTGAAGCCCTTATCTCCATACAAACTAGCTTTTATTTTGCATGTTTTGTTTTAGAGACAGGGTCTTAACTATATAGCTAGCCTCTCAAGTACTGCCCTGTCTAGATAGCAAATTCATATTGATGGAAGCCACCCTTCATTAACTGAGCTTTTCTGTATTGTTCCAACCTTAATTTCTCCTTCTCATGGTACCATGGGTATCTAGGCATTATAGATGACTTCTTCTTTTGTCTGTCGTTCCTACTAGGTTGTAAGGTCCTCTGTTGGTCCCGAGTGTAGTCCTGGCCTGGCATATGACCATATTCACAGACTATGCATTAGGAACTAATGAAGGCCAGGTCCTCCATTAGAATCTGGAGCCTGTTAGTGAGAGACCGTCCTGAGATTAGGCTTCAGGGAGCCTGTGAGATGGCATGAGCCTACCTCTCCCTGGACTGCCCAGTGCCAGCTGCCTCCAGCCTCTGGCCTCTCTTTCTCCTTCGTCCTGACTCTATCTCAACCAGGAAACTTTGGCTGGTCACTCAGACTCCCTGACTGTGGAGGCAGAGTGGCCTGTATAGCAGACCTGGCTATGACACTCGACTTTCCCAGCTGGGTAGCCTCAGGACAGCACTTGCCTTGCCTAGATTTCCTCATCTGTACAGGGTTATGGTAGAGTGTAATTCATAGCTTTTTTGAAATATTAAATGCTATTTTTCGTAAGAGCACATGGAAAGACCAACTCAGGGCTCCATGTCATAGGCCCTTATCACACAGAACTTTCTCCCCCCCCCACCCCTGCTTCTGGGATCTGTCTGGGGTCTCTGATCTTTCTTAGTCCCAGCATTTGGGGCAATGTTTCCCGAGATATTCTTCCACTGACTGGGGTTCATGACCCTTCAATGGTAGTCTACAATACTGATTGGCCCTAGGATGGGGACAGTACAGACCAAAGGGAGGCTGCCAGAGATGGCTGGAAATGGAGGACGTCCAGTTTAATTTGAATGCAGATGAACAATGAGTCACTTTTCAGGTATCTGAGTATGATCTGTCCTGCTGAAACCCAGGTTGATCTGAAAGCCCCCGGCCACAGTCACTCTGGAGGAGGGGGACATGAGCTTGGATTGGCAATCTGTGGAAAGTACAAGGCTAGCCTGGAGCTGGCTCTGCCTGGCCACAGAACCCCAGGCCCTTCTGCCTCTGTTCACTCACACTGCCTCAGCGACCCTTTCTTGTGCCCAGGCTTTGTGCAGACTGAATGGCTCCAGGAAGGACCCAGGCCTGGCTCCGATGAAGGCATAGTCCCTAAATGTGTTTCCTTTCCCAGAAGACCAGGAGGCTCTCTGTGCCAGGCACTGCCCGAGCTCTGGGGGCACAGCCTCGAGAAGAGAGTCATTAAGCACCTCTCTCTTTGACTTACCTTCTTGTTGCCAGGAGACAGATAATAGGCAAAAACAAACAAGTAAAGCACAGAGTAAGTTAGATACAAAGGGAACAAAAGCAGCAGAGGCTGGAGAGACCGGCATTCGCTAATGGTGTCACCAGGGCTGGGCCTGGCGGCACATAGTGACAGTACCAGCACTGGATGGGAAGGTCGAGGCCATTCTGGACAAGAGACCTCGCCTCTGGAAACACACACAATAGACCAGATATGGTGGTGCACAGCACTAGGGGAAGAGAGGCAGGGACAGAGGCCTTCAAGCCCTCCTCTGCAGCAGAGAGAGCTGGAGGCCAGCCTGGGTTATGAGAGCCCCCGTGCCTCAAGAAAACCAAGCCTAAGTAACAATAAGCCGACAAAATAAAAACACTACCTAAACACAGGAACAGCTCAAATCCAAAAGAGGATTGCAAAGCTGTGGGTATTCAGTGAGTAAGTGCTTGTCTGGCATGCGTCAGGCCCCGGATTCTATCCAAGAACTGGAAACAGGGTGAGGCAGATGTGGGGGCTGCACCCTTTAATCCCAGCACTCTGGAGGCAGAGGCAGGTTTGTGAGTTAGAGGCCAGCCTGGTCTACATAGTGAATGCCAGACCAGCCAGGGCTACATGGTGAGGCCCTATTTTAAAAACCAAAACCAAACCAAACCAAATCAACCAACCAACCAAACAAAAAACAATTAAAAAGGGGAAAGAAAATCCACTGGCTACTAGAATAGCATAACAAAATGAAATAGATAATGCCTTGGGCTGAAGCAGCAGGGGCTCTTGCACACTGCTCGGGGAGACAGGGCTGGGAAATGGTCTAGCACGTCTCAGGAGGGTGAGCCCGAACCTACTGTGAGTCGGGGATTTCTCCCCTGGCGCATCCCTGGCAGACGTGTCAATATGTTCACCAGGAGACTTGCTGTGTGCCCACAGCAGCACAGGGTAGGAGGGCTGGAAGTAGCCTAGAGGTGCATGCCAAGTAAGACAGGCATGCACGCTGCAGCCCTCCTAGCGTGGGAAACGACCACACTGTGAATGAATGAGAATAAGTACCGGCGGCTGCAGGGTGAAACCATCCACAAGGGATAATGTTTTGCGAGTCCATTGATGAGAAGTTCAAAAGCAAGGCCCTCTACCTAGGGCCTCGGAAACCAGAACAGTTGTTGCTCTGGGTGCTGAGAGGGATCAGAGGAGGGGCTCCTGGGGGGCAGGCTGGTTGTGTTGTTTCTTGGCTTGGGTACCAGCTGCCTGTGCCTGTTCACTATGTGAAGACTGACTGTGCGGATGATGATGTGGGCTTGACAGACAGTTCAAAGCAATGGTGGCGTCAGGGTTCCTCAGAAGGTGTCTTCTCCTGTAGGAACCAAGGACAAGGAAGACACCAACAAGAAAGAGCTGTATGAGAACAACAAGCACTTCCTAGGGCCCTACAACCCTGTCAGCCCATGCCAGAACATTCTGCGTGTCATTGCGGTGATTACCAGTGGTCCCGGCTCCCAGGACGGGATGGGAGGGACAAGGGGTTGCCACTAGAAAGCATCCTAGGAAGGAAGCCTTCTCAGGTGGCACAGCCTTCCCAGGTGCCCTCCTCTGTCCTCTCTGTTCTATTTATGAGCTGTAGTGAATATCTGATATACAGGATATCTGATATGTGACCCTGCATATCAGATATTTACATTCCATTTCATAACAGTAGAAAAATTATAGTTATGAAGTAGCAGTGAAATAATTCTATGGGGGTTGCCACAACATAAGGAATTGTGGGAAAGGGTGGAAGCATCAGGGAGGTTGAGAACTGTTATTCCAGCCCATGACTTCCTTCTGCCGGGCGCTTGCCAACCAATTCTGGGGGCAGGGGCCATATTGCCCCTGTCCATTGTCCTCCCCTTCCTCTTCCTTCTCTCTCTCTCTTTCTCTCTCTCTCTCTCCCCCTCCCTCCCTCCCTCCCTCTCTCACTTTTCCTTCTTTTAAAGATGGAGCCTTGTTACCCTCCTAGGGCTACTCTCAAACCCCTGGGCTCATGTAGTCCTCCTAACTCAGCTTCCTAAGCAGCTTGAGCTACAGGAGCACCTTAGTACCCTGCTGTCCCTCTGACCTCGTCAGTGGGTCTAACATGCACGCATTAGAAAATATGTGTGGTGCCCGGCACCAACCTTTCTCTTCGAGTTAGGTGGAGTCTATGCTTCTCTGTGTGTCTCAGGGGATCCGCCTTACGCAGGCAGTGCCAAGACCTCTCTACCCATATTTTAGGAATTTGGAGACTTCCTGGGGCCCCAGCAGGTAAAGGACCTGCTGTTAGCAGCCTTGGAAGGCCTGAAGGACATCTCAGAGGCTCAGGGGAAGGACTCGGGGGAGATGATGCAGCTGGCCTCGGAGGTCACACTCAGTTCTGTGCTGGAGTGGTATCGTCACAGGGCGCTGGAGGTGGTAAGGCCTCTTGGAGGCAGAGGCCCGGATATCAGACTGGGGGAGTCCCCCGGGATCCCGCTTCTACTGGGATAGCCTGCCTGCCTGTGGGCCGGGTTGGAACTGAGCGCTGGGTTAGGGAGGAGGAGGAGGCACCAGCCCTGAGTGGGGACGTCAGTTAGGGGTCTGTCTCACTCCAGGGGGAGTAGCAGGCCTCTAAACATCTCTCCCCACTTCTGTCCTGTCCTGTGCTTCCTCTCCCTGTCTCTTTGGTCCCCTTCTGTTACTGTACCCTACGTCCTTCGTCCTTCTGCCATCTACCCATGCTTCTTGTCCCCTCTCTTCTTCTCCTATGAGTCTGCCTTCCCCCTGCTCACGGCGGCCTCCAGATTCCAGAGATCATGCAGGGCATCTATATGCAACTGAGCCACATCCAGGAGCCGCGGGCGCGTGAGGTGGCCCTGCTGCCCATCTCCTTCCTGGCCAGCTCCTTCATGACCGAGGTCGTGGTGGCCCTGTTCATGTGCCCCCTCCCACTGGACAGGTACCAAGCAAGGAGGCTTCCATCTTCTAGATCTCAAAGGCTTGAGGCTGTCCTGTCCTAGGCTGAGACACTCTTGTCTAGAGAAGCCCCACCCTTCCCTGCTCCTACACTCTATGGTAACGACAGCCAGCCAGGCTCTACCCGAGCATTGCTGGATATATACTGAAAGTCCAGTCTCTAATTCCTAACTCAGCGCTGGTCTCCAGAAGTTGAAGTGAGGCTCTGGAGATATGTCTTGGCATCTATACTCGTTGAGGTATTGCTAGTGTGGGGATCTACACTCAGATCCGACTAACTCCAAGGCCTGGAGCTCTTTCTTTAACGGTAGCTGCTGGTCTCGGGTAGCTCATGTGCCCTCTCTGGTCTTCAGCTTTCCCTTAGGAAAGACTGCTTCACAGTGTCAGTGAGCAGAAGGCAGCTCCCCACTCGCTGCCTCCATGGAGGTCCTTGTCTGGGCTGGAGAGGAGCCTAGCCAGATGGTGACAAAGGACAAGTCTTGCTTCCATTAGCCTGTTGGACAAGCCCATCTATTGCTCCTTTGAATGAATCGGGAAAGGGATTACATAGGATGGTTGATTCTGAGGAAATGTGGAAGAATATGCCGAACTGTGCAAGAGGGGGTGTGCCCAAGGAGCAGGTCAGTCACAGAGTCAAGATCAGGGGACCCTGAGGGCCAGCTATTTAGCCCAAGAAGTTAACCATTATAGCGCATTATAGCTGTACTGCCCACCAGGGGGAGCTCTTCTCTCTCTGTCTCTCTCCTCCCCTTGTCTCCCTCTCCCTTTCCCCCTCTCTCTGTCTCTCTGTCTCTCTCTCTGTCTCTCTCTCTCTCTCTCTCTCCTTTCTCTCCCTCTCCCTTCCTCCCCTCTGTTTCTCTCTCTCTCACACACATACAGAGATGGGAACACACATGAATGGGTAGACAGTGACAAGGAGAAGAGGAAGGGGGGGGGTGTTGTTCATTATATATCCCAGACTGTCCTCAAACTCATGGCAATCTTCCTGCCTCCTACTTTCAGGTACTGGAATTACATTAAGGTCTTTTTTTTTCCTTTATGCAGTGCTGGGAATTGAACCCAGGGCCATGGTATGCAAGTGCCCTATTGCTGAACTACAGCTACAGGGGGTTTCTTTTGTGAACCACTCAGTCACTAGGTTACCAGGGCTGCCCTTGACTTGATGGCCCCATTTATGATCCCGAGAGTGAGGGCTTCTATTTATTCCCTATATGCTTCCCAGGTAAACCTTGGCTGTGAGGGTAGGAGAGCCAGGGGACTCAGAGGGACCAGAGTCTCTTACAGGATCCTTGTTCTCTGCATCTCTGCAGTGATGAGTCCAGCCACAAGGGTCACAGTCCTTGGGAAGCCCCATGCTGTTCCATTGGTTCTTATAGTTAATGATAGTTCCCCCTGATCCAGATGTTATATATACCAGGCAGCTATAAACATGACCATTTTTACCCTAAGCAATGTTGCCTAGCAACGTAGTTAAAATACTATCTTTATTGGGTTTCCAGGAGAACAGAGCTGGGAAATGAGCGGAAGGTTCAGATGCTCCGGCATCCAGGCAAAAGGGTTTCAGTAACCCTTTAGCTCACTGCCAAATGCCGAGAGTCTGCCCTGGTGCTGCTGCTCCTCTTGCTGGCATAGCTTTGTGCAAAGGGCCTGGAGTTTGCTTCCTGGGAGTCTGGAATAAGGGCAAGATCCAGGCCCCAGAGGGCTCTGTGACCTCCACTCCTGCTCTTAGGAGACAGCTTCGGAGTCATCGGGTGTGGCCACATCTTACCTCTGCAGCCTGTTAGCAGCAGCATCTTGGACTGATGGTTTTACCTCTCCAAGCCTCCATTCTGCCTTTGTAAAATGGGAATAATGTCCTTTATTATTGGGCGAGAAGTCAGTGACTTGGAGCGTTTCCAGGCGTCTGCGTCTGTATCCTCAGAGATTTGCTTGGTGCCTGGTACACGATGCCCACTCTAATGAATGTTTGCCCAGTGACACATTACATGAGGATAAAGCACTGGGGCTGAAACCTGCAAACGAGGTTCTCAATCACTGCCAGCCTCCTGCCTCATGGAGAATGCTTTCAGGGCCACTCCTTGCGGGTGTGCTCCTGGATACCATTTCATTGGCCCTGCACCCCAGCCCTGAAGCCATTGGCATCAGGTGGCCCCTGCCTTACCAATCACTAACTATCCCCCCTCCTCCTTAGCAATGGGGCAGAGATGTGGAGGCAGCTGATACTTCGAAAGCCCAGCTGTGATGTCCGAGACCTGCTGGATCTGCTCCTGACTAGCCTGAAGGAGAAACCCATCACCAAGAAGGGCCGGGCCTCCATTGTGCCCCTGGCGGTGAGGACCAGGCACCTGCTTTCCTTCCCTTTTACCCCACTCAGTTTGTTGGTCCCATCTGCTTTCCTTGACTGAATTAGTAAACCAGTCCCAGCCTCTCAGAGCAAGAAGCTAGGCTACAGCCAGCGGTGCTGAGAGGATGAACTGGGTCAAGCCACTGGCCTCCCCTCTACCTCTAGGCAGCCAGTGGCTTGTGTGAGCTCCTGTCCGTCAACAGCTGTGTGAGCCGTGTGAGGCGCATCTACCCTCAGCTGCTCCTGGCTCTGCTCATTCAGGTCCATTATCACATTGGTCTCAGCCTGCCCAGCCGCGTGGCTCCTCGGAAGGATGCAAAGGATGACACGCAGCCTCCTGTCTTCTTACCTGTATGGTAGGCCCCATTGTCTGTCTACCTTCCTTTCTTCTTACCTGTATGGTAGGCCCCATCGTCTGTCTACCCTGCTGTCCTGGCAGTGGGGAGTCCCCCAGACATCTCATACATGGATTATGTTCCAACCAATAGGAACATTGGTGGGTCTGTGATACACATCTAATACGAGCAAGTCCGCTGGGGATGGCAGCGGGTGAAGATCCCCGGACCACTCATCCTGTCACGCTACCATGCACTGATCAGAGCTGTGGGATGCAGACAAAGGGGCTCAGAACCAGCTGTGGAACGGGGTGTGAGTCCAGTAACATCGCATCTCTAGTGTCTGGAGAGGCAGCTCGGTGGATAGGGAATGCTTGATCAGCGTCAACCGAGCCCAAGGTTTGATCCTTAGAACCAAATAAACAGGTACCAGAAGTGGAGCATACATTTGCTTTTAGAAATAGGACCTCACGTAGTCCAGGCTGGCCCAGCGCTTGTTATGTAGACTGAGGATGATCTTGAACTTCTGACCCTCCTGTCCCCATCTCCCTAGTCACTGGGATTGTAGGCATGCTCCACCCTGACCAGTTTATCTGGTTCTATGGATCAAACCTTGGGCTCCGTTGACGCTGATCAAGCATTCCCTATCCACCGAGCTGCCTCTCCAGACACTAGAGATGCGATGTTACTGGACTCACACCCCGTTCCACAGCTGGTTCTGAGCCCCTTTGTCTGCATCCCACAGCTCTGGTCAGTGCATGGTGACGTGACAGGATGAGTGGTCCGGGGATCTTCACCCGCTGCCATCCCCAGCGGACTTGCTTGTATTAGATGTGTATCACAGACCCACCAATGTTCCTATTGATTGGAACATAATCTATGTACACGGCGGGGGAGGGGGAGGAAACAGGGCATTAAAATCAATTCTCTTTTTCCTCTTTGTACCCCAGATGCCTTCCCAGAAGAGAAGCAAGTTTTTTCCTTCATGCCCTTTCAGGGGTAGTTAGTTTAGATGAGCACATGGGTTTATATTTATTTTTACAGGTGCTAGCCTGTGACACAGGCACACATTTGCTCTTGGGTATCTAGTCTTGAAGACCTTCATGCATACAGCTGCCTCATTATTTTTGACAGCGGGGCATCCTTATGTACAGAAGTTCAGTCCCGTAATGGGCAGCCCTGCAGCCCTCCTCCTGATTCGGGCACTTCTCTACCCTTTGCAATGGCAGAGACACTGCTGTGAGCTGGCTTGCATGGAGACACGCATGTAATTGTATGTGTAGGATGGACTCCTGAAGGGAGGGTGGGGCACCGATGGACTTATGCATGGGGATACTGAAATGGCATAGGAATGCATGATGGAGAAAGTTAATGATCATTGAGGGATGAACATTGAAATGAAGGGCCAGTGAGATAGGTCAGCAGATAAAGGTACTTGCTGTCAAGCCTGAGTTTCATCTTCATGACCCACAAGACGGAGGAGAGAATCGATTCTCTAACCTCTGAAGGCACACACACATACACACAGAGATTAGCTAAAATGTAGCAATTCCTCCACTGCCCCATCTGCCAGGGTGCACAGAGGAAACTGTCACGAGTGGTCGTGGTCTATGCCAGTGCCTACATCCCCACATCTATTCTAGGCTAATGTATTGCAGAACATTTTAATCTTTGCAAATCTGAGCTGCAAAAAAAAATGGATTTCTTTCTTTCTTATTCTTTTCTTTAGATAAGGTCCTTAAAAGGAATCATGATTCTCCTGCCTCATATCCTGAGTGCTGGGAGGGCAGGATTCTGCCACCACACCCGGTGTGTGTGTGTGCGCACGCGCGTGTGTGCGCATGTGCTGGGGGTTTCGTTTTCATGTCTCTCATTTGAATGAAGCTGAGATTTAAATGGCATTTGTATTCCCATTTATGTGAGCAAGTTGCCCTTGCCCTTCGTCCATCCACATATGGCTATTGGGGATTTTTCTTAGCAATTTTTAAAACTATTTTATTTCCATTTTTCCCTATTAATGTAGGAGAACCCATTTTACGAAGGGAATTAACTGTCATTTATATCATATTTGGCTACTTAACCTGTGTTTATTTTACGTCTTTTGTCATTCAGAAAGTTAACTGTTTCCATGGCGTGCTGGTCCATTCCCCTTCTCATCCTTGTGCGTTCACTTACAGAAGCATATTCAGGAGGGCAAAGGACAAGCCCCGTGTGGCTGGAGGCCTTTGATACAGAGCTGTCCATCATGTTTGCTCTGGTTTTCTCCCGTTTGTTTGTTTGTTTTGATAGTTAACCTTTTGGCCGCCCACCCCCATGAGATGAATGCCTGATTTCTGCCTAATGGTTGTGTGAACTGATAGCCTCACCCGCCGCTAGAGAGACACCCACCGTCCATGTGCCCTCTTGCATCTCTTCCTGTGCTTTCTGGGGCTGTTAGGTTCCTGGGCAACAGCAGGAGATGAAGGGGTGGTGCAGCCACAGTAGGAGGAACACAGATGGAGGCTTCCCTGTCTGGAAGTGATGAAGGGAACAGCCTCCACAAGAGGAGGATTCAACTCCGCTAAGACCACAGGACCACTAGAAGGAAGCCAGAGTACCCACCCTACCCATAGCCACAGTAACAGCACACCTACCCACAGCCATGGACAGCTCATCTTATCCATATCCCCACTAGCGGGAGCACAGCCCTGCCAACACCTTAAATTTGGGTTCCAGCCTCTAGAGCCAGTAGTCCTTTCTGCTGCTTTACGGTTACCTGTGGCAGCTAGCCGTGGCAGCCACGCTGTTGTGTGACTCCTTGGTGCTCCAGACTCAGTGACAGATGAAAAAGTCACCCTACAGAAGTAGTCACATCTCTTATATGGCGAGGGGCATAGGCTATGAATGTGACAGCTCTATTGGTACCAGGTGACATGCCTCATGTGAGTTTGAAGGGAAAGAGGGACTCCTGGATTCAAGCACACGGACATAGGCATGACCGGAGGGTTTTGGCAGCCCTGGGCGTTTTAGTTGTTCCGTGTGGTGCCGTGGCTGTTCAGTCACCATTCAGGGACTGGGGAGGCAGAGGCAGGTGAATCTCTGTGAGTTCGAGGCCAGCCTGGTCTACAAGTGCTAGTTCCAGGACAGATAGGACTGTTGCACAGGGAAACCCTGTCTCGAAAAACCAAAAAAAAAAAAAAATCATTTTACAATCAGTTTCTTGACTGGCCACTGTTTGTCTCCAAAAACAGAAAAAGAAAAAAGAAAAAAGAAAAGTAGCTTTGGTGCTTGCTTGGATTGCTAGCATCAGCCGCTGCTGCTGCTACTAACCACATTCTCAACATTTTAGCTAAAGTGACATTTAAATCGACCTTAACACTTTTCTGGGGTCTAATTTTAGTCACAGTGACATCTTTGAGGTCCTTTAGAAGGGACAGGTCTTTTTTCTCTGAGGTTAGAGGCTCTCCGGCAGGACGGGGTGGATCTAAGCAGCATTTGGGCCCAGTGAGTATAAGGTCCACCTGCCTGACCTGGAGCTGACCCAGAGAACCTGAGTCAAATGAAAGACAGCAGTTGAAACGTTGCAAGAGATAGTACCAATGTAAGAACTGCACTAGTGATCTGGAGCACACTCACTTCCATCCACTACACCTGGGAGGAACATGAAAACACATTCCAAGAACAATTCGTGTTTTGAAGAAACTGAGGTCATTAGACTTTTGTTTTCTCACAAGTCCTCAGAGTTCTCCTCACTCGACTTCATCTTGGACTGTGCTCCCCACAATGGTGGTTCCCCTAAGACTGTAGGAGAGCCCATGTAAGTACCATGATGCTGAAAGAACCCCGGAGTGGGGAGACTCTCACTCAAGTCTTGGGATAACACGACCCCCCAGGAACTCACGAGAGACCGTCCTTGCTGCAATCACACGAGGTTTATTGACATGACAGGAACCAGTGCACTGGGGAGGAAACTCATTTCCCTTGCAGGGGTGGAGAGTTGGACCCCGAGTAGCTGGGAGAAGGGATATTTAAGGGAAGAAACCACAAGCCGGTAATCTAAAGGGGGTAGGGAGGGCATCATTGGAAAATTCCGAAAATACCAGTGATAATCACAAGGGGGTACCTCCCTGTTTCTCAAGATTATTCTCAAAATTATAATCTAAATTTATGGTCAGCTAGTTCCTGGAACAGAGTCACTGAACTAGCTAACCTAGACTTTTGGTTCTTCTCTCCCTGCTAAATTGTTTTGGCTCTACTCTTTCTGCTAGAGGGGTCTGAATTTATCCGGGTCTTTCAATGCTCACACATGCCACCAGCTCTTGAGGCCTTTCTCAGAATGTATCCCATCAGTATATGGCTGTAACTTAACTTTCGTAACGAGACAATAGGCTGGGCTAGACATCCAGTTGGTTAAAAGGTGGCAGTGGCCTCCAGGATCCCTGAGCTCACTTAGACCTCCTGAGTTCTGCTCAGTTTCCTGGGTGTGACAACTCCCCAGGACCTTCCTGAAGGGTCCTGAGGCCCAAAGGGACTTGGGCACTGGCAGAAGACTGAGTGTCCAGGAGAGCAGGCTGCCAAGACATTCATGGCTTAATGGAGAGTATAGAGGAGAACAGGCAAGACACAGGAAAGGAAGTTTAGGCAGCCGGCTCCTCCAGGAAGCAAGGCCCCGGAGAAAGGGTGGGTGAAGTGGGTGTCTGCTATCTCTTAGGTTCTGAAAGTAAAGGATGTGTTACTTATAAAGAGCCACCGTCTGTGGATCCAGTGCACCCTGCTAACTGTGTGGTAGAGACGGTGCTGGGGGTGGAGAGGAGCCTTGGCAAGAGGGGCCAAGTAGAAGGCACACAGTGCACAGGAGACTTTACCCCCTTGTCTCGGCAGCTGGATGGTGAAGGTGGTGAAAACCCTGCTTCTGAAAATGGGCTGTTCATATGAGTCTACGTTTCTGGAGGAGCAGGGTGGCTGGGAGCTCATGGGCCAGGAAGAGAATCACTACCGGGGAGTGTCCTTGTTGGCAAGGTGAGGTGCGAACCTCAGTGGGGTAGGTGGGATAGGGTGGGCCCTCGGATCTTCAGACAGACCCAAGCTGGCATCTCTGAGCAACAGCTTTTGTCCCCCCCCCCCCCAATCTCTTCTCTACAGCTTGGGGAATACTGTCCTAGCAGTGGGTCAACACCAGTGTGAAAGATGATGCCCATTCTTGGGAGGCAAACTTGGTCCCTGAAATGATATAGTTAGCTCTTTTTTTTTTTTTTTTTTTTTTTTTTTTTTTTTTTTTTTTTTTTTGGCTTGGTGAGATGGCTCAATGGGTAAAGGTGTTTGCTGCCAAGGCTGTCGATCTGAGTTCAATTCCCTGGACCCACACGATGGAAGGCAAACTCACTAATTGTCCTCTGACCTCCACATGAGCACCGTGGCATGCACACCACTCCCATATACATGCACGTAAAATAAATAAACACCAGTTTACTTACAAGTTCCCTTCTTCAGCCAGCCATGCTAGCACCTGCCTTTAATCCCAGCACTCCTGAGACAGAGCAGATGATCTCTGTGAGTTCGTGGCCAGCTTGGTCTACAAAGTGAGGTCCAGGACAGCCAGAGCTGTTACACAGAGAGAAACACAGGCTACCATTATGGAGGCTGGTGGCAAGCCAGGGTTTACACGTACACATCTTGCACAGGAACACAGCTGGGTCATCTATCCAAGGCCACACAACTGAGGAGTGGTAAAGTTATTGTCGTGTGTCCTTCACCAAGGCTCCTTCCCACCCTGGCCCAGATGAGTGCTCCCTCTCCAAACACACACCCCTCCCTGGCTACAGAGGGGCATCTTGACTTCTGTGCTGGTGCCATGACTCCCGCCACAAGAGCCTCTCCCTGGGCTGAGCACACAGTCACCTGATGGAGCACTAACTGTTCTCCAAGCACCACGCAAAAAGGGGCTACATGGACGATGACTCCGTGGTTCTTACCAGCACCAAAGAAACAGTGCTGTGACGAGCCTAGGGTTAAACATGAGGAAACTGAGGCCCAGAGATTAAGTGCCTGCCCCAAATCACACAGCACATACTGGAGTCAGGATTTGAACCCAGACTCCCTCCCTTCAATTCTTCAATAAGTTATTCTCTTAGATTCAGTGACCCACAGTCACCTTGGCTGGCAGCACTCTGCCCTGAGTTCTCAGTGGGTGTGGGCTAGGGTCCTGAGAGTGTGTCTTCAGGCAGTTTCCATGCGGTGCTGATGCTGGCTGTGTGGGTAGGGGAACTTTGATCACCTGCTGGCTTGGTGGGATGCGTGAAGCAGTTGGAGCAGGAACTTGTGGTCGGGACCACAACTCTGCCATACTCCAGCTCTGAGAGCTGAGCCAGCCCCATTCAGAGCCTCGGTTCCCTCTGTGACTGGGGATATTCAAGGCCACCTGTCTGGAAGGGTGGTGTGGAGACCCCATGGAATGACAAAGTGGGAGGCTGGCTGCTGCTGGCCTCAGTGAGTGAAATCTCACATCTCCTTCCTTCTGCCCTGGCCTCCTGCACAGTCGTGGGAGGGCTTCGGCTTGCCCAGCTCACTGATTTGCCCTGTGCCCTCTGCCAAATCGCCTTCCCACCCTGTGCTTCATTTCCCCAGCTGTGTAAAAAAGCAGATAGGTACCACTGACTCCGAGATGTCACCCAGGTGACACTGACTGGCCAGGGTTGGTAGCGTCCCTGTTAGACCTCCGTCAGCGGGCCTTGTGTGACTGGGAGCCTGAGGGTCTGCCCTCCCTAGGGCCATGGTGCATTACTCCTGCCAGGAATTGTGTCGCATCCTCTACCTGCTCATCCCGCTCTTGGAAAGAGGTGACGAGAAGCACAAGGTCACGGCCACCGCCTTCTTTGTGGAGGTACCTCCCTGGGGCCCTGGGAACCTGGGGACAGTCATTCGGGGCCTTCTGGGGAACGACACTTTCCAGTTTCCAAAGCCTTCCCAGATCCTCGTGTCTCTTCAATAGGAAGGCCCCACAGGTCTCTCTCTTGTGTCTCCCCCTCTGCACCCCTATACCCCACTCTTCCAGACTTTCCAAAAACCTCAGGCACCTGTTAATCTTTGCTTGGCACCACGGTGTATCAGGAACCAGAGACACAAATGTGACCTTGACGCCACCCTGGCCTTGAGGAGTTCTCAGTGTGGCAGGGAAGACAGAGAACATCCCGGTTATAGTGTGGGGTGCCGTACTGGGCGGTCATGAGAGAGCTGGAGATTGGAGAGAGGGCCTCAGGGAGAGCTTCCTGAAGGAGGTGACATAATTAGAGCGAGCGTGGCAGGAAGTGCCAGGCAGGACCAGGAGGCAAGTCAGGAGTTGGGAAGGCCAGCCGCAGAAGGGCGATGCATTCGGAGCTGACTGACGTTTACTGGGCGCTTACTGTCCTCCCAGCCTGCTCTCAATTTATGCTAATTGGCTCATTTCATTTTCCCTCAAATTCCATAACTTAGATACTAGTTTATGGCCACCTCAGAGAAGGCAGTTGAGGTCCAGTCTCTTTCCCAAGGCCCAAATGGCAGCTAGACCCAGGATTCAAATCTTCACCTTTGGCTCTAACTCCTCCATGCCTCTCTCTTCCTTAGTTTACTGTAAAACCTCCACACCACTCAAGGCACAAGGTCATTTGAAGCGCTCAATGGTGCCAGTTCCTTCCTACGGCTGTGTGATTGTAACTATGTAACTCCAGGACCTTTCCACCTGCCCCATCAGATGCACACGCCCCACCCCTGTTACACACAAGCCCTCTGGTCCTCCCAACACACGGACCTCCTGTCTTCTAACTGCAAACGGACCTGTTTGCAGCATCTCCTCTAAGCCAGGGAGCTTTTGTGCTCAGCGATTTTATGGCATCTTCAAGCTTATCCAGGCTGTAATCATCGGGTGTCCCCCAAAGAGGCTGAGAACACCCCATTTTGTTCAACTTCTGTCTGTGAGTGACATTAGAGGACCTGCTTTGGTCCCTGCTCCCTCGTCTGACAGTTATCATTCAGAGGACTCCAGGGTTTCACCAGAGTCTGTAGGGTGGGGCTGGCTTACCGCCTGCCTAGCTAGTGGGAAGGACAGAAAGGCTTCCTGGAGGAGGTGACATTTAAGCTCGACCTCAACGGGTGAGTACGGTTTGCAAAAAGGGCATTCTTCTTGACACATTTCTTAAAACATTTCTGCCTCTCGAGACTGTGAGATCAGAGCAGGGGCCATGTTTATACGGCAGCACTAGTGTTCCAAATCTGTAGCCAATATCAAGATCAGAAATGATGATTTATAAAAGTGAATGGTTCAAGTGTCCACATTAATTATTTTCGGTAGACATTTATACCACATCTACTCTTATAGTTATTTATTTATGTGTGTGTATCTATATATATGAACACATGCATGTCTTGGCAGGTGGAGGTTAGAAGACAGCTTGTGGTAGTCAGTTCCGCTGTCCTTTCACCGTGTGGGAATTGAACTCAGGTCATCAGAGTTGGCAGCAAGCACTTCTACCTGCTGAGCTATCTCGCTGGCCCTCTGATCTATAAATGAAGAATCTTTATCTTTTTTTAAAAAAAATATTTATTTATTATGTATACAATATTCTGTATGTGTGTATGCCCGCACACCAGAAGAGGGCACCAGATCTCATTATAGGTGGTTGTGAGCCACCATGTGGTTGCCGGGAATTAAACTCAGGACCTTTGGAAGAGCAGGCAATGCTCTTAACCACTGAGCCATCTCTCCAGCCCCGAATCTTTATCTTTTGCAAAGGGAGTTTGCAAGTAAAAGAGACAGGAGCCGTTATCCTCTGTGTCTCAGGCTCTGCCCACAGCCTGGTACACATCCGGCCTGAGTAGCTTGCATGGACAGGCAGAAGGCAGCAGTGGTGTGGTCCTTCCTCCCTTCCATCTCCTCTGGTTAACTGGTGATCCTCCCGCTGCACCAGCTCCTCCTCCCAGTTCTCCCCATCTTGTAGACATGGCTCTCCACGGTGGCAGCCAGGATGATAGAGTGTTGTTTGTGAGGATGGGCTGGTAAGACCCAGTGCCTGTTGGCCGCCGAAGGGAGGGAGGGTGTGAAACCGGACAGGGAGAAGAGGATGGGTTTCACTGATGGTGCTAACCCTGCAATGGCAGAGGAGCTGTCCTCAGAAGGGGAGGACTTGATCCCTGGAGTAAACACACATTCTACCCCAATTCTTAGATGGAGTGATGCCCCCAAAAGAGTTGGCTGAGTTTTTGTCCAATAGGAAGGTCACAGAGGTCCAGGGGGACAGACGGGCGGATGGAGCGCTGAGGTTCCTAGTTGCTGCCTCAGGAGGATGCCCAGAGTTCCTGGGACTCGGGGAAATGTGTTCAACCTGGGGCTGAGTTTTGGAAGGAGCTATGCCAGGTGTGAGTGTGAGCATGCAAATAGCTATCGTAGTGGCAGGGCATCCTGCCAGCCCAGAGGGGACAAACGGGCCTGGTCATTTGAGGAATGGTGAAACATGTCTGGCTATGTAGGAGTGTGGGCTGCAGGGTGAATACAGAGCGAAGGAGGCGAGCAGGAGGCAGGCGATGCGGAGGCACAAGGAGAGACAGCTTCAGCATTCCCACCAGTTTCTGGTGAACGATAGGTGAAAAGCACCGGCTACTATCAGTTTTCCAAGCCCGCAGCTCCAGGAGGCAGATCCTGGGAGTCCCAGGGAGACCGTGGGCCATGTACCCCTGGGCTCAGGAGTCAGTGCTGTTTGCTCTCTCAGCTGTTCCGCATGGAGCAGGTGCGTCGCATCCCCGAGGAGTACTCCCTGGGGCGGATGGTGGAAGGCCTGAGCCACCGCAACCCCATCATGAAGGTGCTGTCCATCCGGGGCCTGGTCATCCTGGCCCGTAGGTCTGAGAAGGTGAGTAGAAGGTTGAGAGAAGCCCAGCCCTACCAGGCCTTGGGCTGGAGGGAGGGCTCAGCTGTCATAGTCTGGAATTAGAGCTTATGTTTGCCTGCCCTCGGTGGTCCCATCTGTAAAATGGACCTGCCAACACAATCTCTATGTATTATATTCTTTTTCAACATATCCTGATCCAGATTTCGTACAGGCAGTGTGTGGACAGAAAGGGATGGCACTAATTATCCCTATGTTGTGGATCAAGAAACGGAAGTCTGGAAGGGTGATATAAGCTTAGCATTGTAAAAAGTGCCCGTTTTCTCTCCTAGGGACTGCCTGACACAGCTTGGTAGAAGGGGCAGGGCACAGACTCAAAAAGCTAACTTGTGACGTAGGGTATCCTATGTGACCTGGGGCATCCTATGTGACCTGGGGCCAGAGGAGGGAAAAAGCCAGACGGATTCAGTCACCCAGCAGGGGGGTGGGAATTAAGGAGACCAAAGAAGCCTTTAGAGAACAGCCAGGGAGGGAGCTCAGAATAGGTGACAAGGTCCAGGCTGGGCTGCCCAGGTCTTCTGTGAGTGGGAGGCTGGATCTCCTTCCTGCTGGCCCAGGCAGTACCCCTTCCTCCATGCTTCTGTCCCCCAGACGGCCAAGGTCCAGACCCTGCTGCCCACCATGGTTAAATGCCTGAAGAACATGGATGGGGTGCTGGTGGTGGAGGCCGTCTGTGACCTCAAGAGCATCTTCAAGGGGAAGGGCAAGAAGCTAATGGACAGCTCAGTCTATGTGGAGATGCTGCAGCTCTTGCTGCCTCACTTCACTGATGTAAGGCCTCAGGAGTGGGGAGGGGAGGAGCGTGGGGAGGGGAGGGGCATGGGAAGAGGAGGGTCAGTCACTTCCTGGGGTTGCAGAATCTCCCCTCTACCCCACCACACTGGGGTCTGGGCAGAGCTGCCCCAGGTTAGAGGAAGGGGCACCTCGACCCAGCGGCTTTTCCAAAAGGGAGTTCTTTTGTGATCAGTTTTCCCAGAGAAGGTGGACTTACTGCCACTGGTTGGTCTATGTTGGCCCCACCACGTGGCCTGGGCTCTTCTCTGCCTCTGTGCCAAGAAGGTCCTTCAAACGAGGGACAGGAAGGCTGGGGAGCCTCCTCCTGGGAGAGAGGTCCTTCTGAGCCTCCGGTTTGTCCCAGGCAAGAGAAGAGGTGCAGGTCTCCTGCATCAGCGTGTATGGAAAAGTGGTTCAGAAGCTCCGGATACCCCGCACCCAAGCCTTGGAGGAGCAGCTGACCAGCACGCTGCTGCCCTTGCTCCTCATCATGCAGGAAGGCAATGCCAAAGTGGTCCAGGTGAGAGCAGGCACAGGTGTCCGGTCCTGAAGGGGCACCTGCTTTACAGAGCCAAGCCAGGACTGGGGCCAGTCCATGGAAAGCAGTCAATTATGTCCAGCCAGGTGTGATTTCTAGAGGCATCTTGGACAGAATTCCTCCTCAAATAGCTAGCTTCACTTGTACCCTTCTTTTCTTCCTCTAAGTTTTATTTATTTATTTGCAATACTGAGGGTTAAGCCTTACTTAGGCTTCTCACACGCCAGGCCGGCTCTCTACCACTGAGCTATAGTCTCGATGCCTCCATTTGCACCTTTCAAACAGGACTTGGTTTTCCAAAATCCAACTATAAAAAATTGTGTGTGGGGCTGGAGAGATGGCTCAGAGGTTAAGAGCACTGCCTGCTCTTCCAAAGGTCCTGAGTTCAATTCCCAGCAACCACATGGTGGCTCACAACCATCTGTAATGAGGTCTGGTGCCCTCCTCTGGCCTGCAGGCATACACACAGACAGAACATTGTATATCTAATAAATAAATAAATATTAAAAAATAAATTCCTTTAAAAATTTGTGCGTGTAATGTCTGAGCATGGGCACACATGCCACAGTGTGCACACGGAGGTCAAAGAACAACTTTGTGGAGTTGGTTCTCTCCTTCTACCTTTCTGGGGATTGAACTCAGACTGCCGGGCTTGAGTGGTGAGCCCTTCTATCCATTGAGCTGTCTCAGAAGTCCCCAGGCCAGTTTCTACATGCCTTTCCCCCCTGGAGGTCTGCTGTCCTGGAATTCCACACTGCTGGTATTTTCTTCCTATTGGTCTGCAGAAATGTGTGAAGACCCTGTTCCGCTGTTCTTGCTTCATGAAGTGGGAGTTGCCAAAAAGGGCTTACAGCCAGAAGCCCTGGGAAAACCATCTACAGACGGTAGCAAAAATTTGCAAGTATCTTGTGAGTGCTTCCTGTAAGCTACTGACTCTTTACAAGGGTATTGGAGGCCAGGAGTCATCCCTTCCCCCTTCCTGTTTCATGTTCTGACTTGTGGTTCACATCACTGCCTCCAGGCTATTGGTGCTTGAGCATCCATATCTGTCTCTGACTTCTCCCCGTCTAGAGTCCCCCTCCTCTGGATCACTGGATACCTCCAGTGGATAGTTATCTATCTATCTATCTATCTATCTATCTATCTATCTATCTATCTTCCTTCCTGCACTCTCTCTGTACACTCCCCACTGTGTGTGTGTGTGTGTGTGTGTGTGTGTGTGTGTGTGTGTAGGGACCGAGCCTGTGATCTCATGCATGCTAGGCAAGTGATCTACCACTGAGTTACAGCCCCAACCTATCTATATTGTGTCTATATTGTACCTTCTGCCTAGATGGTCTGCCTTTTCTTTTCCTTTTTTAAACTTTTTGAGACATGGTCTTACTATGCACCTCAACCTGGTCTGGAACTCACTATGTAGCCCAGGCTGGCCTTGAATTCACAGTGACTCTCTGTCTCACCCTCCTGAGTGATGAGGTTAAAGGTGTGTGCCACCGTGCCTGGATTTTAGGCTCCCTTTTCTGCAATAGAATTTCCCAGGCAGTGTTTCTAGTGATGGTCCACAGGGTGGGGATGCTGGGGGCAGGTGTTCTGGAGTGTTGCAAATGCTGAATGCTCACCACAACCCTGCAGATTGACAGTGGCTTCAGAGGACTTGGAGGTGCTCTGTGCAGAGGAATAACAGTTTTGGTCACTGACTCATGCTTTCTTGACCTTTCTCAGCGATCTCTGTGAATAGCTAAGTAAGCCACAGACATGCTGTGAAGGTGTCACTGTGGGTCATGGAACCTCTGGGGACATCTAGTCCCACTCTCCCTTCCCTGTTGTCATGGGCAGGAGTCCATGTAAAAAAACAACAAACACAGAAAGTATCTGGGTATGGTGGTGCGTGTTGTGCTCTCAGCACTGGGGAGGCAGAGGCAGGAGGATCCCTGGGACTCATTGGAAAAGCAGCCTAGCTTACTTGGTAAGCTCCAGGCCGATGAGAAACTTTGTCTCCACAAAAACAAAACAAACAAACAAAAAAAAAACTCTAAATGGACAGCACCCATACAACAGCAGCAGCAGAGGTTGTCCTTGGGTCTCCTCGTCCATGGACCATCATGCCTGGCCTTTTGGCTCCCTTTCCTGCAACAGATTTTCCCAGGCAGTATTTCCAGTGACAGGAGTATCCCCGTGCATGCCTGTACACACACACACCACATACATTTACCTTCACAAACAACCTCACACACACACACACACACACACACACACACACACACACTAAAGCATTGTATTAAGCTAGGTATAACCTTAGTACTTGAGAGGCTGAGACAGGAGGACTGCTATGAGTTTGAGCCCATCTTGTGCTATAGAGTGAGACTCTGTCTAACAACAACAACAACTCCCAAAAGACCTACATACATTATGCTCAGCACCGTTCTGTAGACCTTTGGGGGTTGTGTCTGTCAGTTTGTACCTCTATGGTCGATCCCTCTACTTTGCTTTTCTGCCCATTAACAACTTTGCTTACAAGAAAGTTAAATTCTTAAGCTAATGGGGCTGGAGAGACGACTCAGAGGTTAAGAGCACTACCTGCTCTTCCAGAGGTTCTTCCTGAGTTCAATTCCCAGCAACCACATGGTGGCTCACAACCATCTGTAATGAGATCTTGTAGCACAATTAATAAAAACCCAGAGACAGAAATTGGGGTTCAACCTGAAGGTCAGAAAAGCAAAACAGCCAGCCACAGACTCTTATCTTTACCTCGGTCTGAAATGGCAATCCTGCCTCCAGGAATCCTCAGAATGAGACACTGTATGAAACCTGTCTCCTCCTGTTTTATAGTCTTCTCTAGTGCTGGGATTAAAGGCGTGCACCACCACTGCCCGGTTTCTGTGGCAAGCTAGTGTGTCTACTGGGATTAAAGGTGTGTGTTACCACTGCCTGGTCTGTAAGGTTGACCAGGACGACTATTTTATTCCCTGATCTTCAAGCAAGCTTTATTTATTAAAATACAAATGAAATATCACTATAAGATGTGGTGTCCCCTTCTGGCCTGCAGGCGTACATGCAGGCAGAACACTATACATACTAAGTAAATACATCTTCTTAAAAAAAGTTCTTAAAAAAAAAGAAGAGCCGGGCGGTGGTGGCGCACGCCTTTAATCCCAGCACTCAGGAGGCAGAGGCAGGCGGATCTCTGTGAGTTCGAGACCAGCCTGGTCTACAAGAGCTAGTTCCAGGACAGGCTCCAAAACCACAGAGAAAAACCACAAAAAAAAAAAAGTTCTTGGGCTGAGTACTGCGGCTCAGTAGAGTACCTGCCAAGCATGCCTGAGACCCTAGGCTAGAGCTTTAGCACACCCCATAACCCCAGCTTGGTGGTGTGTGTGTGGTGGTGCATGCAGGAAGCCAGGGCAGGCTACATGAAACCCTGTCTCAAAAAATGAGTACAAGAAGCTAAAGCTACGCTGTAGTAGCTTGACGAAGAAACCAGTGACTTACTGCTGATCAATGACCGAATCAACTGTAGCTCATTCATTTTCTCATCTAGCACAGTGCTTCTCAACCTCCCTAAGGCTGTGACGCTTTAATACGGTTCCTCATGGGGTGGCGACCCCCACAACTATAAAGTTATTTTTGTTGCTACTTCATAATTGTAATTTTGCTACTGTTATGAATCATAATGTAAATATCTGTGTTTTCCAATGGCCTTAGGTGAAAGGGGTTGGGACCCATAGGTTGGGAACTGCTCTTTTAGTTGTTTCTGGTCACCAGCTCTAATACAAGTCCTGTCTAGGGTTCTGAGGACTCTGAACGGAGTGATAAGTTCCCTCATCTTGGAAGAGTTCCGTATGCAATGGGGGAAAGGGTGTACAACTAAAAGCTACCGTTCTGGGTACCATGACCGAGGATGTGTGGGATGCTGCAGAAGCATTAAGAATGGTGGACAGCCAGGTGGTGGTGGCTCATGCCTTTAATCCCAGCACCTGGGAAGCAGAGGCAGTTGGATCTCTATGAGCTTGGGGCCAGCCTGGTCTACAGAGAGAGTTCCAAGACAGCCAAGGCTATACACACAGAGAAATCCTGTCTTGAAAGACAAACCAAGCCAAACAAAAATGATAGATGAGCATCCCCTGGGGTCATGAAAGATTTCAGTGGGAGGTAGCATCTGAATTGAGGCTTGAAGGATGCAAAGCAATTCATCAGGTAGAAGGGAGGATACCGTAATTAGGGGCAATCCCCATACAGGGCACAGAGGTGGCTCTGGCTGGTCCATGTCCTTGCTGCATAGCCCTGCAAGTATAGCAGTGGAGGCAGCGACGGGAAGCTGTCAAACTCAGTAAGATTGTGGAGGCTTTGCCTGCCAGACCTGGGAGTTCAGACCTTGGCCTCAGCCTGAGGAAGTTGTTATCAGACATGAGTCTTCTCTCTCAGTAGCCTCTTACCTGAACAACCGCTCCCAGGTCTCTGCACCTGAGCCATGCTGATGGCCTCTTGCACAGAGCATGGCTTTGTCACTACCAGTCGTGAGTGAAGGCTTGCACTTCCCAGCACAGGAGGATGCCTTGTTTGTGCCTGGCTTTGAGGACTGCTCAGTCCTCTAGCTAATTCCCCGTTGCTCTGTAGCCCCAGTCTTTCATCCTGGCCAGCCCAGTTTCCCTTTGCATGCCATGCCCCATGTCATCTCCCGTGGGATCTGCAGTGTGGAACCTTTCCTCCATTACACCCGGGAGATGGACTGATAGGAGACCTGGGCTGGCACGCCATTAGAAGTGGTGATTTCAGTCAGATAAAAGAAGACAAAGTCTGGCCCCTGGGGGCCTCTCGGCAAAGAGCTGGGCAGTAGGGATGTTTGGGAGCCGGGGTCAGGGAAGTGCTGATGGGGAGAATAGCTGCCCCTAGATATGAGGTAGTGGACCCAGCACTTGAGGGGTTTCTCTTCATTCCAGGTGAACTCTCACCGAGACAGTGTCTTCACCTTCCTCAGCCAGAGCCTGGAGTTTGCCAAGAATTCACGGGCCTCCCTCCGGAAGTCCTCTGTCATCTTCATAGGTAACCTTTTCTGGGATAATAAGTCCCCCGCCAAACCTCTGCCTGAGTTCCAGTCTGAATTTCCCAGAATCCCAATCTCTGGGGGAAAGATTGATTACAGAGTCTCTTTGCTCAGGATTCTTCATAAAACCCTTCTAACGTTGGCTGCCTCTCCCACCACATCACACTACACTTACTGTATTAGATTCCTATTCTCCTCTGCCCAGATAATCATAGTCCCTACACCAGGGTCAGGAGACCTTACTGCAGAGAGGCCTGGAGGTGATGACCTCTATAAAATGACATTTATTTTAGTGTATGTTTTAAATTCATTTGCTCTTTCTCATACCCCATCCACCCATATACCTACCATCCATCCATCCATCCATCCATCCATCCATCTATCCATCCATCCATCCATCCATCCCTACATCTATCCATCCATCCGTACATCCATTCATTCATCCCTACATCCATCCATCCATCCCTACATCCGTCCATCCATCCCTACATCCATCCATCCCTACATCCATCCATCCATCCCTACATCCATCCATCCATCCCTACATCCATCCATCCATCCCTACATCCGTCCATCCATCCCTACATCCATCCATCCATCCATCCATCCCTACATCCGTCCATCCATCCCTACATCCATCCATCCATCCCTACATCCATCCATCCATCCCTACATCCATCCATCCCTACATCCATCCATCCATCCATCCCTACATCCATCCATCCCTACATCCATCCATCCATCCATCCCTACATCCATCATCCATCCCTACATCCATCCCTACATCCATTCACGAATCCATCCACTTATCCACCATTCATCCATTCATCCTCCAATCCATCTACCTATCTACCCACCCACCATATATGTAATATATTCCATTTTCTTATCCTTTTATCGACCCATGCACACTCATCTGTCCATCATCTACCCATCCATCTTTCTAGCTATTCACTCACCAATCCACCCACCTACCCATCCATCTACTCACCTGCCCATCCATCCACTAACCAATCCATCTACCCACTCGTGCATCCCCTCATCCATCCATGCGCCTCCCGTCCTGTCAGTGGTTTATTTAGAGAATGACTCCCTGTTCTTTGTCAGGCGTGATGATGAGGTTAGAGAAACTGAGCTGCTGGGGTGGGTGGGAGTGAGATGGGGGCTGGGGTAAGACACGGGGGTGGGATGAGGGGACTGCCAACATAACCAATGCTGGGGCACAGGAGCAAGGCCTAGGACATTTGGCACACATCTGAACTAAGGGGCTACACAGAGGCAGCTCCTCACATGCTGATTTCTTTCAATCTTGCTCCAACTTACCCTACCACTCCACCCCCCAAATGGATATCAGATTAAGAAATTTATAGTCTGGTGGGAGATAAAGATTCATACATATATCAGGGCCTGGAGATGTAGCTTAGTGGTAGAACACATGCTTGGCATGTATAAGACCCCGAGTTCACACAAACACATAAATATACGATTTGTAAATCACAAGTAAAGTAAAACCATTGTATACAAACCTAGTGTATACAGACCCAATGTATATGGGCTCAGTGTATACAGGCCCATGGTATATATACCCAGTATATACAGACCCGGTGTATACAGGCCCAGGGTATACAGACCCAGTGTATACAGAGGTGTATACAGGCCCAGGGTATATAGACCTGGTGTATACAGAGGTGTATACAAGCCCGGGGTATATAGACCCAGTGTATACAGACCCAGGGTATACAGGCCCAGGGTATACAGACCCAGTATCTACAGACCTGGTGTATACAGGTCCAGAGTATACAGACCCGGTATATACAGGCCCGGTGTATACAGGCCCGGTGTATACAGGCCCAGTGTCTACAGATCCAGTGTATATATATAGACAGGAAGCTCACTGAGACTCTGAGACTCTAGGTAGGCACCAGGCTCTGAAGGGTGTGGTCGACCGGTAGTCAGAATTAACCAGACCAGCTCAAAAACAAGGAATATAATTTTAATAATTGAGAGAATGAGAAACTCACACAATCAGGATTCAGTGAGAGTCATGCGCAGCCGAATGAATACAAAACAAGGGGTGGGCACCTGGATGCCCAGGTCCTTCTTCTGTCGCCCTAAGTGGCCACGCCCTAGCCAAATGTGATTGGCTGAGCCTCCCCATCAAGGCTCAGCCTGGGTCAGGGTCAGGGTCAGGAAGGACTTCATAGAGAGTCACTTTCTGAAGTTAACATACAGGACAATCAGGAACTTCCCAGGAAAACACATAAATGTGGGAAGGGTGGGTTATAACCAGGACCAGGCATCATGGGAGCCAGGTATGTGGCACAAGGACACCTCAGAGGTCCCTTGCAGCGGTGGCTGACAGGTGTATGAGGCTACGGGCTCAGATTCCCTGGGGAATCCGGGAAATTTTTCATGTCACAGACAAGGAAGCTAAGGCCCAGCCTAGGATAGCACTGTCAATTGGCCACATCCCGGATCCTGTGCCATCCTGGTTCAATCCTGCCCACGGGACCAACACTTCCCTGGGACTCTTGTTGGGAATCTGCCCTCACGTCATAACGAAGCTCTCCTTTAATGCCCTCTAAGGGGCTGGAAGAGGGCAGACAGATTCTGAGATCATCTGATCCAGGAAAAGGAGGAGCAGGTATCAAGCTAGACGCCTTCACCTTTTGGATTATCCAGGGTCCCTGGTCCCCTGCATGAAGAACATTATGACTGAACAGTGGCTGAATGAAGTGAAAGCCAGTAAGTCACACCCGGAGTTGGTGAGATTGCTGAGGGAATGGGGACATGAGCAGAACCACAATGTATAACAGGGAAAGAGAATGGCGTGGGTCAGGGCAAGAGTCTTCAGTTCATTCTGCTGTGCTAAAGCATTATCTGTAGTGAGTGCCATGTTAGTAACTACTGTGGGGTTACCCAGAGGCAGAACGCACAGCATCCTGGGGAGCTTGTGACTTCATTAGGCAAACAAGGCTCAGAAGCAAGACCCAAAACCATTTAGTGCAGGGTGGATAGTTTAAATGCTTAAGGAGGCCCAGCTTGCACCTGAGAGCACTGATAAGGAGCCTGGAAGTAGGATGGAGAACTCTTGGGAGGGTTCCTAAGGGAGGCAGACTTCTCATACAAGCTTTGAAAGATTGCAACAATCTGGATGACTGGAAAGATGCTTCCTTGAGGGGTGTCTAAGCCAAGGCTAGGAGGTAGGAAGGAGGGGTGAACCTTATCTAAACAAGTGGCTTTTCTCGTCCTCCAAACCCAGCTCTGGAGCTCTTGAGACATGACCCAGAAGCGTCAGTATGCATCTATGCAGCCCAGGCCCAGGACCACATCATGGCTAGCTGCTGGCGAAATTCTTGGCCACTGCCACATGGAGATTCATGGGTGTGTGACCCATCCAGTTCGCACCGCTGGAACTCCAGCTGTGAGAACCTACCCACGTCCCACCAGCGGCGCTCCTGGATCATGCAGGCACTGGCCTCCTGGAAGATGTCGATGTCTTTGAAGCAGTGACATGCCAAAGCCCCCAGACAGGTCACTGTAAATACCGCATGGTCAAGCTCTCCATCCGGACGGCTTCTTCATGAGAGATACCCCGGGCTCCTGTGTAGCCCTCACCGTGACGAGTCTGTGAAAAGCACATGACCTTCATTTGTTGATTTAGTTGACACTTACAGATGTGTGCAGGCTGTTTTGTTCACTTAGCATAACGGGATGGGATACCAAGGCACAGAGGTGAAGTGGCTTGACCAAGGCCACTCAGGAGGTCTCCTGGACATCTCAGTTTCCCTTTCCTCAGTGACAAGAGCAGAAGGGGTGATGGTTTAGGTGGCCCTGTAGAAAAGGAAAGAGAAAAGACTTTTCCCACCTATGGCATCGTGCATATTTGGGAACCCTGGTCTCTGAGTCTCACCCTTGGGTCTTTGCCCAATAATTGCCCACCCCTAACACAAAAATACCTGAAGTCATTTTTGCTGTTGCTACCTGAAGGTGTCAATGCTACTGACTTCTGGTAGGTAGGGAGCAGGTGTCAGGGCACACTGTTAAATACCTTACAGTGTTCATGACAGCCCCACATGGAAGTGCTCCAAAGTTCTAGGACTGAGTTCTCAGCAGGGAGGCATAGAGACTGTGGCATCCAGAGGTTGTGTGTGTCAGCTGAGGTTCCAGAGAAGAGATTTTTCAAGGAGGTTTGGAAAGATAGCCACATTTGGGCATCTATGTGTAGACAGTGGGGTACGTGGGACCAAAGACCATCTTCAAAGTCACGGTGAGACAGAACCTAGAAAAAGAGGAGAGGGGCAAGAGCCAGGCCTAAGGCCATGGAAGCTGCCCAAAGGAGATAGACTTCATCCAGAGGGCAGTGGGGAGGCACGGTGGGGTGCTAAGAAGGGGGAGATAGATGAGCAGATGCCAACTTTAGAAAACTCTCCTCGTGGGATGTAGGAGCCCTGGGCATTGCTGGTGTGGCAATAGATTGACACAGCTAATTCTGAACAAGAATCTGTCACTAGTCAGTAGTGGGAGCTTAGGAATAACCATGACCCAAGGAGTCTACCTGTAGGCATACGTCTTGGGGCGATCGTCCCACAGGTCCATAGGGGCATGTATGAAGATGTCTGAGGTGAGGTGAGGTGATGTGGGGTGAGGTGAGGCGAGGAGGAGTTAGGCTGGGTATCCAGAAGAGTAAGCCCCATGGAGTTTCATGTGTAGTTATAGGTAGTAGGGATGTACTTAGTTCCATTGGGGACCCCAAGCCTTGCGTTGAGTGAAAAAAGTGTGCTAAAATTTGTGTGCACAAAAGTTTTTTGTTGGAGACTGGGTCTAGGCGGTCTTGAACTTGTGATTCTCTCCTACTAAAACTCATAAGTGCTAGGATTACAGACAGATGTTACCAGGCTTGGCTAAGAATTCACCTTTTGAGAATATTTATAGGAAAGACAAAACATCAGGTTTGGAGAGGGTGAGGAGGGTTCAGATACAAAAGGGAGCTTAGCGAACTCCTACTGGAAGCCAGGAGTCTGGAAGCTAGGCAAACTCTGCCTGCGGACTGCGGCGGTGGAGGCTCCCTATCAGGCCACGCCCCTGTCAGACCACGCCCCCGACCAGCGGAACCCAAGAGGCACGGACAACTCACAGCCCGGAAAGCTGAGGGAAGGGCACCTGGGCCGCCGCCGGAAGGAGCGGTACGCTTCTTGGCTCCTCCGGATTCAGCCCTAGAGTCACGAGCTGCAATGGAGAATTCTGAGCCTGACCCTACGGATGACGCTAACATGGACGCATTCCTAGAAAAGTTCCAGAGCCAACCTTACCGCGGCGGCTTCCACGAGGACCAGTGGGAGGAGGTGGGCGGTCTCGGGGGCTCCGCTGGGGTAGGAGTGTGGTCCTCGTGTCTTGATCGCTGCCAAAGGACGAGTGACTGCCTGTTGAGTGCCACAAGCCTTGAGGTTTTGAGGGTCTAAGTTGTCAGTGCAGTTAAGACCACAGGGTTTGGCAGTCAGCCCTGTGACCTCCTGGTTCTGCTGCTGGATCGGTTTCCTGGGTTCTTTGAGCCGGGTTCCTCACTTGTAAAGTTGTTTTACCTGCAGCACCCTGTCACTTAAGATTGGGGCAAAGATGAAAGGAGGTGGAGAAGGGTCAGGAACGCGAGAGCGCCTAGCTAAAGGTGATTACGACCACCCCTGGAGAGCTGAGAACTCAGAAGTCCAGTTTTCTACCCTAGAAACTGGAGCCTCTATAGATCCAGCCAATCATGAGGACTGGCAGATCATGACCAGTGAAAAAGACATTTGTCCTGGGATTGGATCTCATTCAGTAGATAATACTAATTATGTGCTTTATTCTTTTTAAAATCTAGGAATTTGACAAGATCCCCCTATTTATGAAGAAAGCACCATCAGAAATAGATCCCAAGGAGTTCCCCGACTTGGCTTGCCTTCAGTCAATTATTTATGACGATGAGCGATCTCCGGAAGGTACCTTACCTAACTAGTGTTTGCTTGTGTGTTTGCTGAGTGGAGGTAAAGTGTGAGTGAGATGGCCAGCTTGTCACTTTTCGCTCCACACGTCCTTCTCCATGGTCATTACAGGCCTAAAGGTCAGACTCCAATAAAAAGCCAAATTGTCCCAAAGAATCAGGAGATATGTGTGATAAGTGCCAAGAAATATACTACTGCCTTCGTGGGCACGACATGTTGGAGCACTGTGGGGGCAGGGGTGAGCTCACAGTGGGTCTGAAGTTGAAAGTAAATCTTAATAGTTTTGTAGGTTGTTCCCAGAAAGAGGAGGGAAATTTGCATTTCAGTGAACGGAACAAAGGGAGTAGTATAATTTCCTCAAAACGATTCTTAAGCTCCTTCAAAAACTAGGATGGATCTCTCTCTCTCTCTCTCTCTCTCTCTCTCTCTCTCTCTCTGTGTGTGTGTGTGTGTGTGTGTACACATATGCAGGTCAGATAACAGCTTTGTTGGTGTGACTTCTCCTTTACCTTTATGAATGTTTCTGAGATCAAACTCAGGTTGTCAAGCTATGGGCAAGTGCCTTTACCTGCTGAGCCCCTTCTCTTAGGTCAGTTTTCTTCCCCCCTCTCACAAACAGCATTCATAGCCAGGCAGTGGTGGCACACCACCCAGCACTCAGGAGGCAGAGCAGGTGAATCTCTGAGTTTGAGGCCAGCCTGGTCTACAGAGTGAGTTCCAGCATAGCCAGAGCTACACATACCTGGAATTGACTGTAGCATTAACTTTGCATAACATTGTGTTTCTATGTTGATGTCCACTTTATCATACCATTAATTTGAATTTTTAGTTCTCTGTTGGTCCCATTTCTTTCATTTATCATATATGTGTTAGTTTGCCCTTCTCTTATAGTGCTAAAAGAGTGACCAAAATGAGCTTGGGGGAAGAAAGGGTTTATTTTAGCTTATAGGTTACAGTCAGTCCATCACCAAAGGAAGTAAACTCGAGCAGGAACTTAGAGGCAGGAACTGAAACAGAGACCATGGAGGAGTGCTGCTCACTGCCTTGCTGCCCTTGCCGTGTTCAGCTTTTTTATACAACCCAGAACCACCTGCCAGGAGTAGTATTGCCCACAGTGTGATGGCCCCTCCCACAGCAATCATTAATCAAGAAAATGCCTAACACAGGCCAATCTGATGGAGCCATTTTTTTATTCGATGCTTCCTCTTCTCAGAGGACCCTAGCTTGCATCAAGATGCCAACAACCCAGCCTGCACAGCGTTACATTACTTCAGGGTTCAGATTTTTAGGAGCTTTCTGAAGGTGTGACATGATACTTATTTCCTTCTCTTTTCAGATCAAGCCAAGACCTATAAGGATGAAGGCAATGACTACTTTAAAGAAAAGGACTATAAGAAAGCCGTGGTTTCCTACAGCGAGGGATTAAAGAAGAAGTGTGTAGACCCTGATTTGAACGCTGTCCTTTATACCAACCGGGCGGCAGCCCAGTACTATCTGGGTGAGCATTATGACGCGGTTAGCTCCGTTTCCTGTATGTGTGTGTACGTATAGGTGAGTGGGTGTGGATTGCAGGGTAGAGGTAACCTTGGATGCCATTCTCAGGTGCCATCTACCTTGTTTGTTGATACAGTTTCTCTTCGGCCTAAAGCTTTCTGAGAAAGGCAGGCTGGCCAGCAAGCCCTATGAATCCATTTGTCTCCACTACTTCTTCTCCCAGCGTGGAATCAAAGGCACATGCTGTCACAGGGAGCATTCTTAGTGTGCTAGGGATTGTGTTCTGGTCCTCATGCTTGTTCAGCAAGCACTTTGCTGACTGAGCTCTCTCCTCAGCCTGACTTTATTATTTCTGAAGAATTTACTTAGAGGGTTCAAGAGATTATGTGTCTCAACAGTTAAGAGCACTTGCTCTGCTTCCAGAGAACCTCAAGTTCAGATCCCAAGTACCCACATCAGGTGCTCACAGCTGCTTGTACACAGGCACAACTTAGCTCCAGAGGGCATCAGACGTCTTCTGATGTCCATGAGCCTGGCTGGCTGACATTCATGTGTGTGTGCGTGCGTGCACGCGCGCACACACACACACAAATTTAAAAACAAAAACAAAAACAGGAAGAAAGACTTTACACCAGGAGTGGTACCTTATGCCTCTCATCTTGGAATTTGAGAGGGAGATGCAGGTAGAGCTAGGAAATTTTTTAAATTCTGTGTACTGTTTTCTTTTTTTCTTTGTTTCTTTGCTTCCTTCCTTCCTTTCTTCCTTCCTTCCTTCCTTCCTTCCTTCTTTTCTGATTTTTATTTATTTATTTTTTTTCAAGACAGGGTTTCTCTGTGTAGCCCTGGCTGTAAAGGAACTCGTTTTGTAGACCAGGCTGTGTAGTGACATTTCATTTGTATTTTAATAAATAAAGCTTGCCTGAAGATCAGAGAGTAAAACAGCCCCACTGGTCAGCCCTACAGACCAGGCAGTGGTAATACCTTTAATCCCAGTAGCCACACTAGTTGCCATAGAAACTGGCGGTGCTTGCCTTTAATTCCAGCCCTAGAGAGGATTATAAAACGGGAGGAGACAACTCTCAGTCTCGTTCTGAGATTCCTGAAGGCAGAATCACCATTTTTGAACCAAAGTCGAGGTAAGAGCCAATGGCTATTTTGCTTTTTGTCTCTTTAGGTTGAACCTCAATATCTATCCCTGAGTTTTTATTAATTATGCTTCAAGGCTATCCTCAAACTCACAGAGATCCACCCACCTGCCTCTGTCTCCTGAGTGCTGGGATTAAAGGTGTGGGCTGCCACTGCTAGGCCTGAGTACTGCTGAGGGCTCTATGCTTAGTTTTCCTTTACTGGATCTCATTGTGCCTGGCGGGGGCGGAGGGAGGCTGCAGTCCAGAAAACCTGTTTTTGAGTCTGCCTAGAATAAACTTCCAGTTTCTCCACAGGTTTGGGGCAGGCTGGGTTCTAGCAGTGGAGAGTACGGCGTTTGGAAATCTGCTGGTCCTTCAGTCTGCCTCTGCTCCCATTGCAGAGGGCCTGGTGCCCATGACACTGATCCTGATGCTCGTTCCTTCTGTGGTGTGGCTTTCCCTCTGCTTTCTGTTGTCAAGCCTGTCCCTTTGCCTTCCAGCTTTCAAAGTGTATTCTGTGCTCTAAGTGCCTATGTGAGTGTCTGACTATAAATCTCAGCCACCTGGGTGAGTGAGGCAGGAGGATCCCACGTTTGAGGTCAGCCTGGTGGTTTCATGGAACCCTGTCTTAGATCTCAGTACCAGAGGGAAGTATTGGAGCTTGCTTGTTTTTCTCACCACTCCTTACGTGTTACTCAAGTATTTTTGAGAATGATTTCCAGAAGGAAACTTGTTTCAAGGAGTGTGCTGATTTATTCTCTATCTGGACACTGTTCTTTTTCATACCCTCACCTATTTCACGTGCTTGTTAGCATTTCAGAGTCACCCAGACTGCCTCATACTGTGAACTTTTTAGGACTTGATGAGCATAACTATATTTTTCCAGAAATATGTTCAGTTGTTGTGATTTCTCGACAGTTGTGCAAACATATCTTTTGTCAATGCCATGATATTTTGGAAACATTTTGATCTTAAAATTTGTTCTTTTTTTTTTTTCACTTACTGACATTTTGTTAGGCAATTTTCGCTCTGCTCTCAATGATGTGCTGGCCGCCAGGAAGCTAAAGCCCAGCCACCTGAAGGCCATAATAAGAGGTGAGTCTCCATGAGCTGGGGGTGGTCATCACTGTGGAAAAGCTGGCCGTCCACACCAAAAACTGAAAGCTTTGTTCCTGAGGAGCTGGGGACTGGGGGAGTGGCCGCAATCCGGCAGTCTTGAGGTGAAGTTCCTTGCTGCCCCTCGGCACTCCTAGAAGGCTCTGCCCTTTATGCTGTATTTGTATGAAATTGAAACTCCTCATTTTAAATTAGTAAAGAATAAAATTAATTAAGACATAGCACATTTTGATTTTCTCCCCAGTTTTGCCTATTAAAGGGCAAGATAGTCAAATGCCTTGTTAAAATGAATGAAAAGATAAGCTCTGGGGCCTTTGCAGAGAACACTGGCGCTGGACTGTCCCCACCTTGTTTCCATCCTGAGGTCTGATCTTCATAATAACAGTGCTTTATTCCTTTATTCTTCGGCTCCTCTCTGAGCTTAGGGTGCTGTAGTCTTTAGTCTTTATGTATTGAACCTCCCTCCTTGCCATGAGCCAGCTTGACCTGCGTTATCCAACTTATGCCTCTTTAGATGTTCATGGCTGTGGGTGGCCACAGGACAGAGGCCCTGAGTAAGCACTGGCCAGTAGAATTAGTCTCATTGACCCATTGTCAGCCTTACCTTACGTTATGATCTTGGCAGGGCATTTGCTCTTGGTATGAGTTTTTGTTTATCTCTGGATGATGAAGATAGAGTCTTAAAAAAAAACAAAAACAAAAACCAAGTATGTATTGTGTGGAGGTCAGAGGACAACCTTCAGGAGTAGACTTTCCTCCTCCACCATGTAGGCTCCAGGGAGTGAATTTAGGACATCAGGCTTGGCAGCAAGTGCTCAACCATCTTACCTATCCAGGGTTAGAATCTTTGACAGCCAAGCTTTATAATAAAGTTCTGATATTTTTAATTTCTATGAAAAGCCTAAAAGAGGTTAACTCTTGAACATGATAGCATCATTAATTTTAGAGTTGGGTGGTGGTGGCGTACACGTTTAATTCCAGCACTTGGGAGGCAGAGGCTGCGGATCTCTGTGAGTTCAAGGCCAGCCTGGTATATGTAATGAGTTCCAGGACAGCCAGGGTTACACAATGATGCCCTTGTCTCAAAAAAACAAACAAATGTATTAAAGAAACATTTTGGAACTGGAATCCAGGTATGTAGCGAAGTGGTAGAGCACTTCCCTAACATGCACAAGGTGCCTCAGATTTCATCCCAGAATGCAAACCAAACAACCCCCAAACCAGCCAGACAAAACCCAAAGGGGGCAAGCTTAAGCAGACGGCTCCATAAAAAAGAAAAATTAGAAGTGCTTGGGCTTTGGTGTTGATTGGCGGCTGCAGAAATTCTGCTTTGTAGTAAACATCCTCTGGGGCTGGGGAGATGGCTCAGCAGTTGGGAGAACATTTACTTCTGTAGGGCACCTTTTTCAGTTCCCAGTGGCTCACAGCTGTCTGAGCCTCCGGCTCCAGGGTAGCCAACATTTCTAGCCTCTTCAGGCAGGCACTGTTGTGAACATGCCCACCTATAAAAACACACACAATTAAAAATAAATCTTAAAAAAATACACCTCTGAGATGGGCTTTATTCTCCCATTCGCAGATGAGAAACCTGAGGCTCAGTCATGGCCCTTGTCCTAGTCCCATGAATGACAGCCGTTTTCTAGCCCAGCTCTCTCTGGTTCCAGAGCCTGTGTTCTTTGCCGTGAGATTTGCATTTTAGGGTTCTTTGTACCAGGAGGATTAGAAAGTTTTTAACTAAATGGGGATGAGTGCAATTTTACAAATCCTTGCCTTGTCTAGGAACTGAACTGCAAAGAGCTGTGTCCTGATACCCCTCCTGGGGCTGGCTGGTGCCGCCAGGGGAGGAGGGTTTGTTCAAGTTGTGCCCGTTGTTCCTAGATCTCAGGACTCTGGTTTCCGCAGGTGCCATGTGCCATCTTGAACTGAACCACTTTGCTGAGGCTGTGAACTGGTGTGATGAGGGGCTACAGATTGATGCCAAAGAGAAGAAACTTCTAGAAGTGAGGGCGAAAGCAGACAAGCTGAAGGTTGGTGACTGTCTACACATGTATCAGATTGTGTCTCATGTTACTGGGAGTGTCTGGTGTGTGTGCTAGCTGTCTAGTAGTGATGTCTAACTCTACCCTACCAAGAGCAGGGTGCAAATGGGGATTCCAGCAGGCAAGCTTGCTGAGAGATGATGACCGAGCCGAGCAGGAGTTTACTTGGCTCAGTGACACTGAGAGAGAATAATATTCCAGGCAAGAGCCCTAGGAGGAATACGTCAGCAAATCTGAGTTTGAATACTGCTTTGCTGCTGCTGAAATGCATTGGACAAGTCCCTGGTATTTCTCGGTCCAACCTTGAGTGTTTTTAATGAAGATGAAATGAGCTAAGCGGTTTTCACATTCTCAAGAGTCAGAAAGAAAACCAGATAATGCATGGCAGAGACCCCATGGTCTGCAAAGCCTAAAATATTTGCTTTCTTCCCTTTGTATCAGATGTTGGCAGATTCCCATCAACTGCAAGCCCAGGAGTGAAAGCAGGAGCTACTGGTGTTGGACAGACTGGGGTAGGGAGGCGACCTGGAAAGAGAATCTGAATTCTCTTCCTGCCAGACTGAGTAGAATGGTGGAGTTTTTCTCTTATAGGTTATAACTGTGCAGAGGGCAAAGCCTGTGAGTTTTTGACATGGGTTCTTCAGCCACACCAGAGAAGTTAGGGTTCCCATGCAGTACTTGTATACTCCATTGGGGTCCCTGAATGGGAATGCCCTTTCTCCTTTATTGGTGGCATCTTCCTCATCTCCCTAAGTCTTGGGGGACAGAATCAGTCCTGTAGGCTGGAATAAGATGGAGGAAGAGTTCCTTAGAGCTGACAGCATCTGAATTTTGTTTTCAGAGAATGAAAGAGAGGGATCTGAGGAAAGCAAGGCTGAAAGAAAAGAAGGAACAGAGTCAGAACGAGGCTCTACTCCAGGCCATCAAGGTGAGTTCTCAAGCCAAAGGCCCCAAGTGTATGAAGTCCCCTGGTTGTGAGAAGCCTGCTGGGGACTTATGTGGGATGTACTTCTGTTATTTTTGTTGCTTTTATTGGTTGATGAATAAAGGTGTTTTGGCCAGTGGCTTAGCAGAAAATCTGAACAGATATAGAGAGAAAGAAGGCAGGTTCAAAGATGCCAAAGGAGACAGACGCTGGAACCTTACCTGTAAGCCACAGCCTCCTGGCAATGCATAGATTAATAGATATGAGCTAACTTAAGATGTAAGAGCTAGCTAGGAATACGCCTAAGCTATTGGCCAAACAATGTTACAATTAATGTAGTTTTTGTGTCATTGTGGGTCTGGGCGGCCGGGAAATGAAAGGCAGTCTTTGACTACAGGGGACCTTTCTTGGGATACTTTTTCTTCACACTGTGCTTACCCCAGGCTCTGGAGTCAGGCCACCACGTTCAATTAGCTCTGCCCCTGCCTTTGCTGGTCTCAGCAACATACTGAGTGCGTGCTCTGGGCATTTTCACAGCAGCCATCTGGGGAAGGCTTTCTTGTTTGTTTGTTTGTTTGTTTGTTTTATTTTTAATTGAGCTATACATTTTACCCATTTCCCTTCCTCCCTCCCCTTTCCCCTTCCAGCCTTGGGGAAGGCTTTCTTGTTTATTTTATTTTTAATTGAGCTATACATTTCTCCACTCCCCTTCCTCCCCTTTCCCTTTCCAGCCTTGGGGAAGGCTTTCTTGTTCCTGGTTTACTAGCCTTGGGTGAGAAAATCTAATGCAGCTCATGGGTGTCAGAGCCTGGTCCTTGCTCTTTACTATAACTTACATTACAGTTTTAGGATGTCCCTCTAACTAATGATGATAAAATCCTCCCTGTGCTGTACTCTGAAGTGAGTGTAGTCTAGGAGACCCAGTGGCCAAGCCAGTTAGTGCTTGGTTCTTAACATGAAGTGGATGTGTCTGACCCACGTGGTCTCTCATCCTTGACACCTGGCTAGTCTCCCATTTGATCTTGCTCTGCCCTTACAAGGGAGATGATGCCTCCTGGGTGAGGTCATAGTTTCATTCTGTGTTCACTAACGTCATGTACCCATTTATTTCAGCTATTAACTTTGAAAACACTGCTAAATTTAGTGTACCCCACTTCTCTCTCCCAACCAACAATCTGTTAACACCTATTAACAAGTTAAATATGGGGGCTGGAGAGTCGGATGGCTCAGTGATCAAGACTCCTGGCTGTTCTTCCAGAGAACCCAGGTCCATCCTCAGTATCCACATGGCAGCTTACAACTGTCTGTCTATACCCAACTCCAGGGGAGCTGACACTCTCACACAGACGTATATACAGATAACACACTACATAAATATAAATTTTTAAAAACAAATAAACAAACAAACTGGGCTGGGCATGTGGCATATGCCTTTGATCCCAGCACTAGGGAGCAGGTGACAGGAGGACCAGAAAGTCGAGGCCAGCTCCAGTTACATGAGACTGTCAAAAAGAAAAGAACAGGTTTTGTCAACTCCTACTGTTCATGTGGAAGCTTCACCCCAGCCCCTGGCATCCATATATCCAAAGAATCTGGAATGTTCAGGTGGAAGCTCCATCCTAAGCCCCCTCCCCCATCTCTCTCCCCAAACCCTGCTGCATCTCAGAAAGACCACCACATGATGACCCTTCCCCCAGAGATGCTCACGAACACTACTGCTGGGTATTTAAACTGCCCCCCCCCCAGAAAACAGACATGTAGTTTTCTGGTCTTCCTTTCCTGTCTGCTCTTTGTGGGGCTGGAAAAATCATCCAGGAGCATTGTATCCATTAAACCTGGGCTTTTTCTAATTTGGTTTGATTTGGTCTGATTTGGATTGTTGTGTTGGTGGAGAGGCTTATCAGGGAGTAGAAACTTTTCACCTACCTTAAGGGGTATCACCACAACTAATTTTGATTCCCTGGATGTGCTAACCGTAGAAACCTTGGCACACGTAAGAGGTAGCCCCATTCTTGATGGATCTTCACTTTAGTAAGGCAGTCAGGATGAAGTCAGCTTTATTTCTAGCATCCCAGGCTCTCCCCAAAGGGAAGCGTTTCCATTGCTGTACCATCGCATGCTTGCCCCGTCCTACACCTTTGCACATGCCAGTCTGTGGGCTGGGCTGCTCCTTCATTCTCTGCCTTCCAAAGCCACACTCTACGGCTTAGCGTGCTCAGATACCACCAGCTACTGTCTGTAGGCAGAGACTGCTTGTTTGTATCCCGGCTTCCCAGACCCGAATAATCACACAGAAACTACATTAATTACACAACACTGTTCAGCCAATAGCTTAGCCGTCTTTCTAGCTAGCTCTTATATCTTAAATTAACCCATTTCTATCAATCTGTATAACCACAAGGTTGTTGCCTACCAATAAGGTTCCGTGGCATCTTGTCTCCTTCAGCAGCTAAATGGCGTCTCCCTGACTCCACCTACTTTCTCTCTACATCTCTGTTTGGATTTCCCACCTGGCTTTACTCTACTAAGCCATTGGCTGAAACATTGGCTTCTTTAATAACCAGTGGTAATAAAACATATTCATAGCATACAGAGGGGAATCCCACGTGAACTGTCTGTGGTTCCTCAGCTCCACTTCCTACCTTCTGTTGTAACTGTTCTGCAGCTGCTCCCACTAGACCAGAAACAGCCCTGAGGGTAGGGAACCATGTTCAGCTCCTCTTTTGATGCAGGGCCAAACACACAACACATTCCTCGTGAAAGTAAGTTCAACAGTGGTGCCTCCTGTGTGCCAGGCTGCCAGGACAGTTAGGATGGGTCATGTGGAGTGGGCCCTCGGGAAGCTCATAGGGCTAGGGTGTATTTCAGTGGTGTGTGTCTGCATCTTCCTACAGGAGAAGGTAGTTTGTGCCTTTCTTTCTGTCTTGATCCAGGCTAGGAATATCAGGCTTGTCTCAGAAGCCCTGGGTAAGGATGAAGATTCAGCCTCCGATGGTCCAACTGAGATCTTCCTGGATGGGCTCAGCTCTGAGAACCCTTGCGGAGCCAGGCTGAGCCTAGATAATCAAGGCAGACTGAGCTGGCCTGTGTTGTTCCTGTATCCAGAGTATGCGCAGTCTGACTTCATCTCTGCTTTTCATGAGGACTCCAGGTACATACTCCATCCAGCAGCTTTCCACTCCTGCTCGTGTGCGCCTCCTGCTGACTGCCCGGAGATAAGCGGGCTTTTGCTGAGTAGGAAAGAGTAATTTAGAGGTTATCCCCAGCAGGTTTACAGGCTTCTCTAGCGTGGATCTGTTTACTAGCTGGCCACGCAGGTCTTGCCTTGTCAGGTCTGGTTAGGTAGTTCATCCGTATAACTTGTGTGTGTTTACTAGAAAAGATACAGATTGCACCATTTAACTTGTGATTTCAAGTGAAATGCTTAGAAAGTTAATGCTTAGAGAGATACGTTCTAGACAAGTGGTACACCTTCCTATTTTGGCACTGTTGTCAATGTGAGTTAAGCCTGAATGTCATGCCTTATACATCGCCTTTCTCTCTGGATTGGTATCCAGGGACTGGTGTGGGAATGTAGATGGAGCACTGGTACCCAGAAAGCACATCTTCCTCTCTTAGGTGTCCAGGGACTGGTGTGGGAATGTGGATGGAGCACTGGTACCCAGAAAGCACATCTTCCTCTCTTAGGTGTCCAGGGACTGGTGTGGGAATGTATGTGGAGCACTGGTACCCAGAAAGCACATCTTCCTCTCTTAGGTGTCCAGGGACTGGTATGGGAATGTATGTGGAGCACTGGTACCCAGAAAGCACATCTTCCTCTCTTCTTAGGTTTATTGACCATCTCATGGCAATGTTTAGTGAAGCACCCTGCTGGGACTCAGAGCAGAAATATCACCCAGATAATTTGGAGGTAAGAAAGTTCTATTTCATTCCTCTGAGGGATTTTGGGAGAGTGTATACAGAAATTGAGTGTTTTTATTAAAACGTTGTGTGTTTGATTTGCCATAGCACATATGGAGGTCAGTGAACAACTTTTGGGTGTTGGCATGTGTAGGGCAGCTTATGCCCATTTGTCTCTGACTCTCTTCCTGGTTAATCTCGTAGGTCTACTTCGAGGATGAGGAAAGGGCAGAGCTATACCAGGTGTCCCCTGGGAGCACTCTGTTGCAGGTGTTGCAGCACCCCAGGTGAGCACCTCCTTGGGATGATGGGAATGGGCAGATCCTTCCCAGGGTCTGGTTAGTTCCTCTGCTCAGTGACACACAGCAGTCACAGAAGGCAGCCAGTGGGACTGACTGGCCTGGCCATTGGCCAAGGAGGTTGAACAGTGACAGCCTATTCCAAGGCAGGTGAGTGGCCTGGTCTCAGAATGGAAAAGCTGCTTGGTTTTACAGCAGAAGGCAGCTGGGGTAGCTTCCGTTTTCTGATTGCACTTGTCTCCTGGCACCGTTACATAGAAAGAGCATTGCAGACCCTCTGTTCCGTCTGTGTGACCCTGAGCATTCTGCCTTGCTGGCTTGCCCTTCACCGGCAGGATGGGGACATGGTTCTAGGCTTTCAAGTAAGGAAAAGCAAGCCGGGGTCAGAGTGCCCTGTCCTGTAGACATGATGCAGTCTGCTGGGAGAGGATGTCTTTGTTATCAGCAATGGCAGCAAGCAGTATCCACTGTGGCCTCTCAGCAGCGTCTGTAGAATTCCCAGGGGGTTAACAAGTTCATTCCTGGAGCCATTTGCTTGTTGGGGTACAGACTGTAACCTCAAGTTAGTAGGAACCTGGCTCACCCCCGTTACTCACAGACTAGCTAGGGAATGAAGTGATAGCTTGTTTTGTGGTCTTCCATGTTTTGTCCCTGTGTGCCTGATGTCAGAGGGCCCATCTAGGGGTTGGGGCTCAGCTTTAAGGGGAGACTGTCATGGTGTCCACAGACAAAGCAATGGGCTAAGTTGTATTTTAATGTTTCTGTACATTGAAAGGTTCATGGCTAATGGGGAGTGTAACCCAGCTAACCACTCCGTCATGCTCTCCCTGCAGGTACTCTGTGAAAGCCCTCACCCCAGCATTTCTCATCTGTGTAGCATCCTCGTCTTTCCTTAAGAGTTATCTTCAAGGGAAAAGGGTACACAGGTAAAGTGGAAGCCAGACCTGGGGTCTCCTCAGCTTCCTCTGCCTGGAGTCCAGCACTTCTCTATCCCCAGGGACAGTGGTTCCTAGCCTCATGCTGGGGAGAAGCTGCTGGCCTCCCTGAACCTCGGCCTGTCTGGCTGAGTGCCAGGCTCCAGCTGGGCCTCACCCTCCTCAGATTCACAGCTCCGCCCTGGTCAGAGAGAGCATCCTTGGAGCCCATCTCTGAAGGAACGTCTGCTGCAGTTGCCAGACTAGCTGGCCTTGGTGACTCCCTGGCCTGTAGACTGTCTCACAGCACATCAACCGCCTTAACCTCTGTGGCATCAGGCACACATGGAAGGCACTCCAAGGCAGTAACCAATCCTGCATAGTATTCTAAGGCGTAGGGCTGAGACTGGTCCAGTTTTTCACCAGAATGGAGAACTATAAGGATGCTGCGGATGCCATGAGGTTAATGGAGCCATGAAGCCACATCCTGTTTCAGCGTCAGTGACTGTACAAACTGGGATCCTCGGGATGTCTCAGAAGTCTACCTGTTCCCCTGACCAGCAGACCAGACAGCAGTCTGAGCACTTCCCAATTCCTCAGCTCCAGTCATGCTCCTGCTCAGCAGAAGAATGCTGGGTTAGCATGCGCACCACTGTGCCTGCTAGGATTTCATACCTCTTGATCTGGAAAGTCTTTGTCTGCCATAGATGGTTTTTGTCTTGGGCTTATTCATCCTAGAGACTCTGTACTCTTACCTGATGCCAAGTGGCGTTCCTCAGTGCCCGCCCCATCTCCCGAGGGGAGCAAGGGCTATGAGCAGATGTGACTCATGCCACGTCTGACAGAAGCTGGAGGAGCCAATGGATATGGATGACAAGTAGGCTTGTGTTCTTTTCCCTCTACTCTGAGGCCCCATTTCTCAAATAGGAGCATTGCCTTCAGCCTGGGTGTCTGAACAAAGCTCAGAGCAGCTGACCTAAAACCACGGATTGTAAAGTGAAAGGCAAATGTTTTCTGTAGTAAATACTGAGATCTGGGGGTGTTTGTTACCATAGCAAAACTGACTAGTACATCATTAAACTGAAACCAGCTGGTATCCTTCGGATGAGCTGATTCGGGGTCTTGTGTTACATGCATCCTTATTTCTGGAAGAGAAATTGTCTGAAATATTTAGGGAGACCAGTGCAGCTTTCTTTCCTAGGGCAGGTTTCTGCAAATCTAGCCTCTCTTCTCCCCTGGTTTTGGAAACACTAGACAGTCTCTCCTCAGCTAGACTGTCCCTGACTTTGTAAGAACTCAGAAGTCTATGTGAGGGTCCTAATGGTTGGCAGCAGACCAGCAGACGTTGCAGGATCCCAGGAGCAGCCATTATAGCCACCTCGCTGTCATGGGCAAATGACGTTCCACTGCGCCTTCCTACTGCCTACTTAGAGATACAACCCGGATGAGGCTGAGGCGAGGCAATGGGTGAAATACACCTGGAAGACGTTCTTCTAGAGCCTTCTATCCTCAGACTGTGCCCTTCCCATCAGCCAGCCTCTGCTGTGCCTCTAGTCCTTGACCCTCTGGAATCCAACCCAACTTACAGAAGAGTTTACTGGGGCCCGTGGTTCCAATGGGTTAGAACCCAAGACCATGGTGGGGATCATGGCGGCAGGCAGGCTGGTATGGTGCTGGAGCAGTAGCTGAGAGCTCACATCTTGAGACAACAAGACAGAAAGAGGTAACCGAATGGCTGGACTTTTGAAACCTCAAAGCCCACCCCCAGCGACACATCTTCAACAGGGCTACACCTCCTAATCCTTCCCAAACAGATTTTCCAACTAGGGACCAAGCATTCAAATACTGAGCCTGAGGTGGCCATTCTCGTTCAAACCACCACATGCAGAACAGGCACCAGGAGCTCATTGTTACACCAGGGCCTGTCTGCTGCTTGAAGCCCCTTTCAGCTGTAAAATGCTTATCTTACTCTTGGCATTGCTTGCAACCTGTGCATTTGAGGCCTCAACCCAGGAGTGACATGTTCTTAATAGCTCTTGTCAAATGTGCTGTTTGGGGCACATATACACAGACAGGCTCAGTGATTCACAATTGGGTGATTCTGTATGACACCATTCAGGCAACATCATAATATGGTGGGTGCTGCTAGCATTCAGAAGGCTGAGGCCAGGTGTTGTCTCTTGATTTCCTATGGTGTGTGCCACAAAAGGAATGATCTGACCTAAACTGTCGGTGATGGAGGTGGAGAAATGTTCACTAAACCAGAAAGAAAAAGATGGTTTTTGGAAACAGTCTTTCTATGAAGCCTGAGGAGAGTGGTGGGGATCTGTGAAGGAACTGCTTCCTAGCAAGACATGGGCTAGATCCTCATCCGGTGCCCCTCTGGTCACCATACCCATCCTGGGGAATACAGCAGGAGACCCAAACCTTACCTGCCTGGTTTTGTTATTGTTTTGGTGTGTGCATATGCATGTGGGGGGGCAGGGTGGGGAGGTGGAGGCAGGAGACCCACAGAGGAGGTAGGGTGACAATAAGGCTGAGGTCTCAACACTGTGCAACTTTCTTTCCTGTAGTCTTCAATGCCTGTTTGCCAGGGCCTGGCATTGAACTCACTCAGCATCTCAATGATTCACAAGCAGCCATGGGCTTGTGACCTCCAGAAAAGGGTGACTCACTGTGAACAGGTCCAGCACCTGTGGAGATTTATAAAGTTGAAGAAGGTGGACAGTCCGAGCAGAGCCAAGGCCCCTTGAGGGAGCCTCTGCAGGGCAGCACCTGCTGGCCTGACTCCAGAGAAAGAACAGCCACCTACTGAGCGCCTGTGCCAGGCCAGCAACATTGTAGGGGCTTGGTGCGCCGGCTCCCCAAATCTCCCCACGCCTCTAGGCAGCAGGCACTGTATAAAGATGGCAAGGACAGCTTAAGTAACCATCCCAAAGTCAACTAGCCAATGCAAAGTAGAACAGGACTTGAACTCGGGACCCTCTTGAGTCCTTCAGAGATAGCAAGACTGTAAAGACTGGGCCTGCCTCCTGGCTTGCCATGGGCCCAAAGGCCTTTGCACCGCTCGCTCTGTGCTTACGGTACAGTGTTGGCAGTCGCTGGGCCGTGCAGCATTCCCAACCCCCAGCCAGAGCCTACGGCCACAGAACTCTGTCAGTGGGGCTCCCAGTCCTCTTCCATCCTGTCTTCTTTAGCAGCACACAGTTCTGTGGCCAGAGATGTGCCCTGGCTCAGCTGGTCTCTCCGCGCCAGGGTTTACAAGGCTGAAATAAAAATGTCAGCCTTCTGGGCTCTTCCTGAGGATTCTGAGAATCTGCTTCAGGCCTGTTCAGGTGGCTGAGAGAATTCAGTTCACCGAGGTAGAACTGAGGCACCCCTTGCCTCACTAGTCCTCAGCAGGAGCTGTCTTTAGCTTCTGGAAGCCTCTCTCTGGTTCCTGGGTCTCCGTGACTAACTGCTCCTCTGTGGCCTGTCATGTTCTGTGTCTCATGCCTGGTTTCCCCTGCTACATCTGACACTCCAGCCAGAGGAAACCCTATGCTTTTAAGATCTGTGTGGTTAAACTGTGCACATCTAGATAATCTTGTTTTAAGGTATGAAGTACTTTCTAAAATATTTTAAATTTAAACTGGCATATAGTAACTGGAAATTCTTGGTGTAGTGTGACATTTCTGTACATGTATGTACTGTGTAATGACAGTCACATATACATCATTACTTTGATGGAAACATTGAAAATCCTCTTGATTGGCCATTTTAAAATAGGCAGTGAAGCATTGTTAACCAGAGTTGTCCTCCTGTGCTATAGAACTTTAAAGGGTCAGCCATCCTTCCCATCCTCCCTGTTCTCTGGCACCATTCCCAGCGCACCATTTACTCTGGTAGCCACTGTCCTATTCTTTGTGTCTTTAAAATATACCTTACTTCCACAAAAAGCATGACCACGCCTGGCTTACAGCCTGTTTCTGAGGAAAGCCCTAGCAGCAGCATCTGCCTTTGCCAATGGGATGCATGGTTGCTATTACCTGATGTGCCCCTCTACACCTTGCTGACCCTGCAGTGTGCATTAGCCAAGGGCAACTAAGCTCAACCCTGGGAGCTTGTTAGCAGCCTGGCAAGCTGCTGGCTTGACAACTGGGGACTCAGTCCCTCACTAGGATTCTGCCTGAACATGCAAAGTATAAACGTCACCCTTTTCTGCTGGTTCATCGTGTGTGCCCCCAACTTACATGCAAAGTATCACCTAATGTATGTAAGGGCAGTTGCTACTTACCATGTGCCTGCAAAGGCCCAGGCACTGTCTCCATTTTACCCACACAAAAGTTGAGGTACTGAGGCTCTAAGGAAGTCTCCTTCACAGTCATAGAAGCCATAGATACACTATTAAGTGTATCATGTATCCTTAGTGTCTCCAGTCTGGATTCTCACTACAATGTAAACCATTTTTTGATATTAAGTGAAGTACCTTGTTCGTTTTTAATGTTACTTAAGTTTGCAATAACACTTAAAATTATGTCCCATCCTTTTCCCAATAAAACAAAGCCATTGTAGCAAAACAATTCACTAATACAGGCATCTTAATACAGAAATGGGCTGCAGGAACTCTTATGAGGCCTGGCATCCAAGCAGTTAAAAAGGAGCAATTTCAACATATTTCTGCAGAGTTCCTTTATTGATGGCTCAGCAGGTGTTTCTTCCATTAGAACACAGAATATTAATGGAGCCCTGATTTACATTCTAGGCTGATTTACATGATGGGTTTATGTACCAGCCTTTATCCCCAAGTAGTAATTCAGCTCTTTCCCAGCCAGTTGCCACTACACCTCCCCAAGGAATGAACAGTGATAGTTCTGCCTGTCTTGTATTATCCAGCCAACATCCCAGCCATCAGTTTATGGCAAGAGGTAAAATCCCTTGGCTGAGAAATGAGTAGGGTGTGTTGTCTGGATGTCCCAAGTTGTTGTAATATAATATGTAAAAACACCTCAGCAGAAGACAAACCACAACCTAATCAGAGCCTTTGAACTACAGTGCACATCTGTGTTCTCAAGGACTGACCATTGGCAAGGCATTCTACTGATGGGAGAGGTTTGCCAAGCCTGTAAGTGAGAATGCTACCTCAAGTCACCCCTGCACAGAGTTTCTATGCAGTTCAAATTCGGCCCTCTACACAGGCTGTTTCCCATCTGTGAACCGAGTGCTAGAGAAGTTTCCCGGTCCCTGCATGTGGGGTTCCTGGAGTTCCACATCATTGTATTCAGCTTGCACGTTTATGAAGTCTATCGGCTCTCTATTCTTGGAATCTGGCTTTTAAAGTGCCTTTAGGCCAGCTTTCCTTAAGTTTACAGCATACACATCTGTTGTAGGAGGCCACTTGTTTGTTTTCCCAGCTGTCCAGACTCCCGAAATAACCACACAGAAACTATATTATTTGTAATACTGTTTGGCCAATAGCTTAAGCATATTTCTGGCTAACTCTTACATCCTAAACTAACCCATCTCCATCAATCTGTGTATTGCCACATGGCTGTGGGTTACCAGCAAAGTTTTGGCAGCAGCTCCATGGCTTCTCTCTGACTCCACCTTCTTTCCCCCAGCATTTTCCCAACCTACCTTGGGGAAAATATTCTGCCTTGCACAGGCCTAACAGTTACTTTATTAACCAATGGTATTCATAGCATACAGAGGGGAATCCCACATCACACATCTGTAATTAGGAAAAAATAAAGCTAGGCTTAGGAGTGCATTCTTGTAATACCAGCACTTGGGAGGCTGAGGCAAGACTGAATTTGAAGCCAGCCTGGCCTGCTGCACAGTGAAACCCTGGGGGGGGGGGGGAAGAACCTGAAGATGTATGGGACCGCAGCTCAGTGGTAAACTGCTTGTCTGGCTCGTGTGCAAGCCCCTTGGTCCAACTCCCTGCACCAAAATGAATAAATTAAAGCACTTGTGTCATTTTTTTCATTTGTTTGGGGCAAGGGTCCCAGGCTGCCTGCTATGAAGTCAAGGATGACCTTGAACTTCTGATTCTTCTGTCTCCATGTGCTGGGATGACAGACATGCACCACAATGCCTGGTTTATGCAGTGCTGGG